GTCAAATTATTATAATTTTGATTCTGATTTCTGAACGAATGATAAATGATAGGTATTGTTATAAATTATATTTCCCGTAATTGTATAGGTACGTATGGATTTCCAATTTCAACCATAACTAATATAGTACATTGAATTTATCAATGGAAGGCTTGAATTTGAAATTATATAAGGTAAACTATCCGCCCAAAATACTATACGTCCATTTTATATCTTTACATTGCTAAGAGAATAATAAATTTAAAAAGCATTCTGTAAATGCCTATAGTTGGACGTAAGTAGTAGGTACCCACTCATTAGGTTTATTTATCAATGAATATAACCTAACATATACCATTTTAAACGACTACTGAAAATTGTATACGTATATGCTATAATTGCAGCAATACTATATATCTATTAATACCATATTTCTAAAATATTTGTAAATAATGTAATCTGCATATTTCTACAATTGGGTTCTATTAATTTTTATAGTATGTATAATGATATATACTGTTATTTTTACGATTTCGTAACATAAAAATGTGAAGTAACTACTCACAAAAAACATGATCTCGTATGTCGAATTTCCCCGAAAATAGAAAAAAATGCATTGTATTGTGTCTTTTTTCCTCTACCTAATTTTAGACATTTTTTAAGGCTAGGCGGATTGAAATGTTAAAAGTTGGATTGAATTTTAATATAAATTAACCAATAAGTTGTTGCAAGTGGATAGCGTTTATTTAGATTTGTAAACCCCAACAGACTAAAAATGAAGCCAAGGGGATGAAATGTTATAAATGAATACCATAGTACTATCAAGGATGTACCTTTTAGGGGTTTAAACTTTCAACTCTTATCCCTTTAATTTGTATGATAACATTTTGCCATTTTTTGGAAGTTGTGTAATATAGTATAGTATAATTCAATGTTTTATTATAATATTCGATTATTTATTGTTTTACAAAGAATGTGTTTTTATAGAAAACGGGGGGAATTTAATTCGGGTCATAATACCCGAAAATTAATTTTAAAAAAAGACGGACATACTTCGCACAACAGGTGGACTACTGTTGAATGTAAGTGAGAAGTTGCGAAGGTAGGATATACAGAGGAATTTAATGTATATCTGTACGCGATGAAAAAACATTGCTAACGAAAAACGATTCTGAGTGAAGATCTGTTACACACGTTTTAAGAAGCCGTAATATTTACGAATTTCATCATTATTTGATATTAAAATTCATATAAATAAAGCTATCCTAAGGTGATGGGAACGGATTTAGCCACTGTTGTAGGTGGGAAATTGGGAAGGTAGGATACAAAAGGAAATTCTATGTATATCTGTAAGCAAACGATTAACCATTGCTAACGAAAGAATGACTCTGACCGGAGTTTGGTTGATAGTAATGCTTTTTCAACAATATATATGCCATATTATGTTAAAATAATTACATATACATGCAACATTTTCTTTAATAATATTTGTTTAATATTGCACCCATTTTCCGTTCTCCAGGTTTTTCCCATTTATTGGGAAAACTCCTGGGAAAATCAAAAAATTACTTCCCGAAAGTACCAATCCAATCAGATTTCCTTTCAGAAAAAGTGATATCATTATAAATCGGAACAGAATTGCTGGTAGAAAAGTTGTTCACAGGAAAAAGAAGGCCGTAATATCTTTTAACTTTTACTTATATTTCGTACATTTTCAGTTTTTCCTCCTTTTTTTTCGGTTTTTTACATTTGCTAATTTTTTTATTACTCTTACTAATATAATTTTTATTTTTTCTATTTGAATTTTTATCCCTTGTTGACAACTTTTCTAAACTATTTTTAATGTGGGTCGCATACCCAAAAAAGAGTAAATTTGTGGGTCGCCATAACAAAAAGGTTGGGAACCACTGCTGTATAGTGTATACCCCTACACCCTACCGCACCGTGCATAATAGAATGCGGGTTTATACGTCTGTGTGTTTCTCTTTACAAGCTGTAGATTTTTTTTCTTTCATTTTTGTACAAAGGGAAGATTGTCCCGAGTATTCTACGAATGAATTTTGTACAATATGACCACCGTCATTTATAATACACCACCCAAAACGAATAAAACCAGTTCGACACGTAGGTAGAAGTATATAGCAGGAGGATAATATAATAATATATATATATATTCATGAGAGAATAATGCATTCAAGGACATAACGACGGGATGTTTACGGCACGCCCGACCGGTACCAGTCTCATAAGCGGATCCCGAAATAAAATATAACGTCTTACAACATAATAGTTTTTGAAGGGTTTGTGTTTTCGTCGACAAGAAAGAAAAACACATTCTGTTAAAATATTATTGTTGTCGTTGTTTCTAAACCGAAATAATATAACGGCACGTACACCTAACAAAACACAGTGACCAACGCAAAAATAATATTTCATTTTTAGGAAGAAAAAAAACGTAATACCTATTATAGTAATGTGAAACATATTTTATCGGAAAATAATATTAAACACGAAACAACTACGACAATAGTATCGTTAATATTCACCCGGAAAACAAATGTTTAGGTAAAATAATAATAATGTTTCGTTTCATTATTATAATTACAAATTAGCCACAAAAAACAGTTTTTGTTTATTATTTTGTATTTATCCTGCATTTAATTTATCGAGCCACCGATATTTAATTAGTTGTCAGAACAGCATTCGATTCTCATTAAATATAGTAGACCCCATCGATATTTTTCACACTTAAAACCACTGCCTGAACATATTATTGGTAGGTAGGCGCCAGTGCACTCTTGAGTTTGTAACCGGGTCGTGCAGGCAAACATATGAAAAATGTTATCGCGATCGAACATTCCGGGTACGTAATATTCCTTTGAAAAAAATACGATAGAGTGGGGATGAGTTCTGTGGCGGTCGAGTAAGAGCGACCGGTAGGGTGAATTTTACGGTGCACGCATACATAGCTAACCCCGGCAACAACGCGGACCACACTGCATTTTACTCCGAGCGACCTGCGATTATCGAGTCCAGCATTTTGAGAAATATTCGAACATTAAACCGCCATCATGAACGCCGTTAAGACGACGTATTTGCTGCTGGCTGTCCTGCCGTTATTTTTCGTCTCGACTGGAGCCCAAAGTAATATGCTTTATACTATAAACTTTTTATTTTCAGCGTTTGGAAAAAATGTGGTTTTTAAATTAACAGAATTGCATTCATTTTTACTGGTTTTAGTTTTTTAAATGCATTCAATTTATTTCGGACCAGTGAATAAAAAATTTGCATTACTTTATGATGATAGATTTTCAAAACAACTATACATAATATATATATATTTAATCACAGTTTGTAACTAAAAGGAAATATAAAACATTTTTTTTCGTTCTAATTAGGTATGTGTTCCAAATTTTGATGAATGTGAATATATTACACATTCGTTATGAAAATAAAAGCCCGTACAGCCTGTATGGGTAATATATATAATATATTCTTATACCTACACCATAGGCTAGCCTAGGGGCCAACATATCCTAAATACGACCATGGCTTGACTCAGTTGACTCTCGGGAAGACTTAATGAGTTTTTGTATGTACAATTTAATTTTAAATTTTAGTACTTACTTATGGGTACGAAATAAATTAAATTATAAAGTATACTAATACACTACTATAACTAGATATCACAAATAATTTTTTTATAACATATTATAATATAATTATTTCTAATTTATACGAAACTTCATAAAGTCTAATTCGCTAAGCGTGTCCTTGTGTTTTTTCTTCATTTGTGGTTTAAGAATAAGAACATTTTTGTAAATGCAAATAATTTTCTCTTTAATACTATCATAGTATAAAATAATTTAATCATTCTATGGCTGGTACAATTTAGATACTATAACAATACGTTATATATCAAACAAATTGGAATTTCATAAATGCAATTTTAAAACTGTATTTAGGTAATGTTTTAAAACTGTTTTTTTATTCTGGTGTCGACTGAATCCGACGGGCGCCGGCAAATCTATTATAGAGTCATTTGTTTTTTCATTTTATATTCAAAGCATAGTTGATTTTACTATGATGTGTATTTAGTTATCAGAAGGTCATTTTTCGATTTTCCTAGGGTTTTCAAAATAATTGGAAAAACCCGGAAACAAAATTATAGGTATAACAGCAATTATCTACGACGAGCCTCGCCACAGCGTTACCGATTTTATTGTTTTTAAATTTTTGCAAATTATATTAGAAATATTGTTTAAATCAAAAAATTCCAAGCGACATTTTTTGTTAAATTTTGGATTAAGTTGCTCACGAAGTAAGTCGTTATTCGATTTTCCAAGTAGTTTTCATAATAATTTCGAAAAACTGAAAAAAGATAAAAAATACAATCTGATAAATTTACGACGTTGCGATCCCTTTATTTTAAATTTGTATAGCTTATGTTATCTACTAGAAATATTGATCCAATACAAAAATAACAATAAACCATTTTGGTTGCATTATTAATGTAGTTGGTGAATAAGAAAGTCAGTTTTCGAACCTACTTTTTAGATTTTTAAATAATTAAGCGAAACCGGAAAATAATGTAGAAATATTGAGAAAATTGACAATGATGTTTTATCATTATTTTTAATTTTGTTTTTTTATTGTAATACATTTATAAATATTCGTAGACTTGAAATGCTGACAGACAACTTATATGATTTTTCTAGACGAGGTAATATTTTCAAAACATTTTGGTTACTTTTAACTTTTCATTTTTTCCCATGCTAGTCGCACGAGCAACTTGTTTGATATACCGTAATATATTATAGTAAGAATACCTAATAACGTACCTACTCGCATTACCTATACATTTTACTATCACACCGCCGGTAGTGGTTTAATCTTTAACAGAGGCGACTGGTGCGGACGTTGTTGGAGTCTTTCACGGCGTTCTGCGCATAAGTTTTTTACATTATTTTACGTGTTTGTGTTTGCGTATGTGCAAAAACGCAAAATAATGTGAAGAGCGCATGCGCCAACAACGTCCGCAACAGTCACCTCTAACGACGCCGGATGTAGTGCCACTAGAAATTCGTTGGTACAAACCGGTGTACCGATACATTTTTACTGATTTAGCAACACCTGTCTTCATACCGATTATTTTACACCAGTATAGATATTCGACGATGGAAATCGGTGTATCCCCACCATTGTCCAAAATTAACAATGATAATATTATCAATTATGCTTCCCATTTCTCGCTAATATGTACTTAATACAAATTAATTTGAATAGGTATTAATTGTTATCAATTAAATTATTATTATTATCATTTAGCTGTTCGTTTATTATTTCGAGGGGGAAATGAGAGGGAATGAAACCGGTGTAAATAGTTTGCACATGTGATGGTGCAGAAAAATTAAATCGGTGTCGTTAATTTTAACACCGGTTATTCCAAAAAACGTCTCAAATTCACACCGGTTTGATTTCCTAGGGAAAATTTACAACGGTTTATGCCAACGAATTTCTTGCCAGTGTGCCACGGTCATAAACCGTAAAATATACAAATATCGTTCCTATAATCATATTTCTGGATTTTTTTATCACTCAACTAGTCGTCAAGGTTTATAGATAATAAACTAGATTGCTAACTAGTGATATGATGTGAAGTTATTATCTGTCATTTTAAATAGGCTAAATGCATGCAGAAATTCCAAAAAAATTTGAATTCTTATTTAAATATTTTAAATGTAATTTTTTTTGTCATTGATATTTATTTTTATCACAATCATTATGATTGTATATTTTTAAAAATACATTTTTTTAATATAATATTAATTTAAAGAATTATATACTTCATATAATTCTTTAAATGTATGACATACAATTTTAAACAATAAAGGAATTATATGTTAAAACCAGTCTGTTGTTCTTTAACATATTATATAGTATATTATTTATACAATAAACCTATTATTTTCAGTACACGTTATTTGTATACAATTTTTTCAAAATGTTGTGAAGTTTAATCACTGTAATAATCTTCTGGGTTCAAAATACATTAGCATTATCGTCAACTCTTTTTCCTGAAAGTATAGATTATTGGTATGTAACAGACATTGGTGAGCAAGACCTCACAAAATTAAATTAATCAACCTAATTTTACACACATATTTAAATATAACATTACACTCTTATAACTAAATATTAACTTATTCAATAATGAATGTGGCTAGCAAAAGAGCTACATAAAACTTTTATTTTACAACATGTAAAAGTATTTATTTTTTTATATTATTTAACATCGTTTTAATTTGTCAAAATACCTATACACCTACTACCTAGTTAAGAAACTGTTCTATTAAACATACCTAAGTATTATTAACAAATAATAATATAATAATAATATAATTGGTAATAAGATAGTATTTACAGAATAGTATTTTAATACACTTACTTAATTTATACGTTTATATATAAATTATAAACATAACATGAAATTATTCAATAGATTATCATCAAAATTTTAAATTAATTAGACAACACAATAAATTATAAATTAATTGACAAATGTCAAATAATAAAATACATTTGTTACCTTCATGAAAAAAAGACATTTTCAAATTTTAAATATCAAAACATTTATTTTCAAAGAGAAATCAGTGAGAAATTATATTATCAAAATTATTACATGATAAGATACAAATTACCTACTAGTAATGGCGGTTGTAAGGCTTCAAACGTTTATATAGTTAGTATAGGGAACCTAGCAGTCTAGTTTATTATCTATATCTGTATCGTTACCAAAAAATAATATATTGTATTATTTACGTCGCTACTCGGTTCTGTGATTGTACGTAGATCCTAGATACCTATAGTTTATTAATATATTAATTTATATAATTGAAAAATAGATAGGTACTTTCAGTACTCATTTTTTCAGTGTAATACCATAATAGATAAGATAATATTATGAATTCCCATCTGTGAAGTGACCATGTTTTGCAGTGGTTGGAAACTTGGAAACGCCATTTCAGCGATGGAAAAATTACGATAAAGATTGGAAGGTTATTGTTATATCAAAACTTTTTTTTTTTATATACATATGTGATTTTTTTTTTGTATTTTGTTAAATATATTTGAAGTTTAAATTAAATTAAAACTATAAAATACTGGTCTTATAATGATTTGTGGATTTTCTTTTTAATAATTCCATTGTTTTACTTCAATATAATTAGATAAGCCAATTAGTTCTTAAAATACTTAAGCTTATTGGAATTAAAACTATCTATTTTGTTTGTTTCAATTTGAAATGTTTAAAAAATAAAGGAATATTTATGTATTTTACATAATTTTTATTTAGTAGGTACCTTGTAGATATAATTGTTTGGCTAACCAAAAATGAATGAAAATTAAACAGTAGATTCATTATAAATTGTATCTAAATAGTGGTAAAAAAAATATACTTATGTATCAACATTTGTTTATTTTTTAATGTTAAATTTTTAATAAAATCGTAAGTAATATGTTCAAAAATTGTAAATATTACAGCCTTACAAATCATGTATAACCGTACTTCGCTCAGAATCAGCAATGGTTTATTGTTGCTTACAAATATAAATATAAATTAAATAACTATGTATGCTACTTTATCAACTTACCACACACAATAATGATGCACCCAAAAGCAGTATCAGCATTTTTTTTTTTTCAATTATAATTATTTTTTTACAATGTTTTTATTTTATCTATTTCTGTTTTTTCTTGAAAAAGTGAGTACACATGTTCCATCTTATATCACAATTTTTAGAAATTGTATAAAGTATTTTTTTACTTTGTGATTAATGATAATATTTGTTTTGATTTAAATTTAACTGTAATTATAAGACTATAATGACCATTTAATCTTATGGTCTTATCTTTATTTCTTAGATATATGTATAAATAAATCTAAGAAATAAAGAAATCTTAGTTATTTTTTTGAAATATAATAATGTTATTATAATTGCAGGCGATCTTCAATCTACAACCCTGCCAACCAACGCGGGATCTGGTTGTGACGGACCAAAAAGAGGTAATATAATATTTTCATTGTTATTACAATTACTTAAGTAGCCTTGAATTTTGTGTTATGAATAACTGAGATTTTGTTTCTTAATTAAGTATAAATACCTAACCATAATGCTCACATTTAAATATAGTACTAATCATTGTCAAAAATATTAAGGGGCATTTAGGGGTTAGCTTTTTAAAATGTATTCATGCTTTTTCCAAATCCAGCCCTTATCAAGTATATAAATACTAATATAGGATGTACATAATCAATATTATTTAAGCCCCAACCCTAAAATATTTTATCTATTGCACCTATGAACCTAAGTTCTAATACTAATGTAAGTTAAAATCAATATTTTACAGTGTTTTTAACATGCATAATAATTGCCAATAGTGAATTTATACAATTTTAAAACATAATAATACTGTACAAATGTACAACACATTTATACCCCCATCCTACAGGTACATGATGCTGAGAGGATATAGGTAGTTAATTTTAGATTCCAAGTGTTTCTATAGAAAGTTTTATAGAAATTTAATTTTAGTATAAGATTTATTTTTCTGAGTTTTTATATGTTTAAATGCAGGCAATGATAGATACATAAAATAATTGTTAAACAAAATGCTTTTACATTCTGTTCTATAATAATTGCTCATTAAATACTCAATTATACATTTGTACCAAATATGGATACCTTAAAAGTATAACATTTTTTTTTATTGTATTTAGTTGGAGGGGGTCATATACTCATGCACCACTTATAAATGTATATGTAAATTAAAGCTTACTTGTAGTACGAAGTATGTTCAGCTTGTTTTTTTAAGTTTCTCAATTTAATGTTTTGTATAACTCCTCGTATTAGCCCTTGTATTGTAATCATCTAATAGTTTTTACTTAAATATATATAATATACATAATACAATATATAATAATATAATAATAAATTAAAAACAAAATTATTAAATGGTTACAATGTTGTACATATAATATAATGCAATTCTAAAAATATCTATTTTTTTTTTTGTGACTAGGTAAATGTATTAATGAAGCTGTGTGCTTAAAATTAAATGGCGTGGTAAATGCAGTTTGTCAGAACCCTGGAATTAATACTAATGAGGTTTGTTGCTCTTGTAAGTACATAAGTTAATAGTATATAATATGTATAATAATATGAATTACTGCGGTATATCTTTACTATTATATTAATAACACTTCATAGATAAATTTAAAAATTAAATGGTTTAGTACCTTAAAAACTATAAAAACATGTTCTAAAATTGGTACTAATTTCTTATTTTAAAAGACTGTTTGATTATCCAAAGGTATTAGAATAATTTGAAATATTTATTATGATGAAAAACATTATAATGCAATTTCTTAAGTTAAAAAGTATCCTAAAATATATATTTAAATTAAATTATATATATATTTGAAATTTATGGAATATGGATAATCTATTTATAAAATGAAAATAAAAGTATCTATTGTCTATATGACTATAATCCGCTATAGTGCAGTGACCCCGAAAGTGACCTCAGTCGACTTTTGAGACTTAGTAAATTTTTTGTATGTTAAATTTAATTTTAATTTTTGTACTTACTTATGGGTATGAAATAAATTAAATTATAAAGTATACTACTATAACTAGATATCACAAATAATTTTTTATTACAAATTATAATATAATTATTTCTAGTTTATACGAAACCTTCTAAAGTCTAATCCACCAAGTGTGTCTTTGTGTTTTTTCTTCTTTTGCTCTTTAAGAATAAAAACATTTTTGTAAATGCAAATAATTTTCTTTCTCATACTATATTTATATTAAATGATTTAATGATTTAAAGGATCTTACATAGGTAATTTTTTAAAACTATTTTTTTATCTGGTGTCAACTCATCACAACAGGCCACAGAGAATCCATTATAGAACCATATATTTTATCATTTGAAATTCAATAAAATATTTTTTATATGGTGATTAATGATCATATTTGTTTTCATTTTAATTTAATTGAAATTACAAAGCTATAAGATCATTAAAACTTTACTCGTTATAAATAAATTTAACAAATAAATTGTATGTTTATTAGTTGTTTTTTAAAAAAAAAATATAATGATATTATTAGTTCCAGATCATCTCCAATCCACAATTACAGTTATGGCCGGTCCCAATTGCAAAAACCCAGAAGGAGGTAATATAATATTATTATTAAAATTATTTAGGAAGCCTCGAATTTTGTGTGATGTATAACTTTAATTTTGTTAATGGAAGGGGGTGTTAATCCTCTCGAGACTATGTTCTTGTGCGCCTGGTGCAAAGTTTGTTCAGTTAATTTTTTTTTTAAGTTTCACAGTATTATAACGTTTTATATAAAATATCATCATAATAGCCTTTGTACAATATTTTTTACCTACATACATATAATATACATGTACAGTAAACAATATACAGTTATATAGTATTTATTGTTATACAATGTTATATGTATATAATACAATACAATTCCAAAAATAACTCATGACATTATTTTTTTTTATGACTTCAGCTAAATGTATTCACGAAGATATGTGCTTTGAATTAAATGGTGTTGTAAACGGAGCTTGTGATATCCCTGGATATGATTCTCGTGGGATTTGTTGCACTGGTAAGTATATACATAATATTTATAATATATTATTATAATCTATATAATTTAGAAGATAACATTTCCTGACTGATTCATGATCACACATCCCCAAACCACTAGACAAATAGGGTTGAATTTCGGCATACAGATATTAATTAGGCATCCTCTAAGAAAGGATTTTTTAAAATTCAACTCTTATGGAGATAAAATATGGGTTTTAATTAATTTTGATTCAAATATCTCATTGTTTATTTATTTTTTTTTTTTTATTCATGGAGCTGAGGGGACAGCTAGTACTTGTGTAATATGCAGTGCTTGGATTTTAAAGCACAATAAATAACAAAAAAAAGTATCCAAATGTTTGAAAAAAATGTAAATTAAACAAATAAAAAATGTATAACCAAAAATTAACCTAAGTTATAAAATTAATTAAATAAAAAAATTGAAAAATTATTTTAAATTAACAACTATAACATTTTCAGATTGTCTGTAGTAAAACTTAATCTATTGCCAGACAAAATATTAGTATATAGAGAAAATGAATTCTCTACAGTGTAGAGTCACAGCAGTAAGTACTCTCAGTAGTAATCAGTGCATATATTATACCAGGTGATTCATTTAAGTGAGCACACTCATTATCTTGGAAAATATTAATTTTTTTTCGGAATTTGTTTTCTAGAACATTCAAGAAACAAGCAGCTCTAAAATCTAATATTTATATAATTTTGTTCACCCTTATTTTTGAAGGTAAAACCACTACCTACTTATAATTTTCAAACGGCAACCTATGTTAAAAAGTCAATAAATAGATGGAGTATTAGTTAAAATTAATTTTAGTGTTGAAATTTTTGATTTCCGTTCATCCGTTGAAGATATATTCCACTGTTAAGTTTGAGTTGGAGGAGAGTAGTANAATCAAAAATTTCAACTCTTAAATTTGTTTTAAATAATAAACCTTTTATTTATGAATTTTTTAATATGGGTTGTCTTTTGAAAATCAAAAGTAGGTAGTGGTTTTACTCCCAAAAATAAGTGTAAATAAATAAATAATCTATATATAAAATTATAGACCTGCTTATTTCTTAAATGTTCTAGAAAATAAATTATGAAAAAAATTAATGCTTTCCAAGATAATGAGTGTACCCCCTTAAATGAATCACCAGTATATTAAATACTTGCATGTATCCTACACTTAAAAAATTTGTGATTTTTTACGTGTTCAAATTTTCATCAAATTTAAGCCATTTTTGAGCTATTTATAAACATTTAAATTGTAATAATTTTATACTTAATTTGTATTTGGTAGGTATTGTTAGACTAAATGCTATTAATGCTTTCCAAGATAATGAGTGTGCTCTTTTAAATGAATCACCCGGTACAAGTTGTTTCGTTTATCAAATCCATGACAACTAATATTTGATGGAACACCACACAGTATGTTCGTAGTGTCTCGTAATTGTTTCCAACCTTTGTTTTTTGAAATAATATGATTTAATTACCTGAAATTACAGTTGTAATATCTGCATTAGCTTCATTCAATTTCTTTTCTGTTTTTTGTGTGTTTAATAAAGGTTGATTACATTGTAGTTAGGTATTAATAGCATTAATGAAATCGTTTTTTAATAAAATATATTAGTTTTATTAATATAGATGAAAGCAAAAAAAATAATAGTCGGTATTCTGTGTTTGACATAGATTGACACTTGTATGTTGTACCTACCACAATTCACGATATATATGGTACCATGGTACCTACTGTCATACTTCATGAAACTATAAGAAGTGTATTTTTAAAAAAATTTCTTATTAATTAAATAAAAACTATTTTATTGTAATAACACAATAAACATATTAAAATTCTTCAACTGGAATAATTTCAAAAAATTAATAAAAAAACATTTACATAAAATAAAACTAAAAAAAAAAATTGATTTTTATAAAATCAAAATTATATATTTAAAATCTATGGAATATGAAATTAATTTTTTCCAGATAAAGATGTCATTGTATACAATAATAGAATATTTATTAGAAATTTAATTACATATTATAGAATAATTAGATATCTATATGGATATATTCTTTACTTAGTCAAGATTTGATAATATAATATAAATTTATAATAGTTTTTGTTAATCTTTGTTTCTAACTTTGAAATCACTTAAAGTAGACACTTATATAACATTTGTCATAATTATTGTAATATAGTGAAACAGGAACAAGATTTTCAAAAAGTTGGGGTAATGGACTATGAAAAGAAATTTGACACGTTCAAGTATGTCAATCCAAATTACCCCGGAATGTTGAACAGCATAGGCAATCATTTATTTACGTTCAAAAGGGTATCCAGAAGTATACACCAAATTCGTTTGGACTTTATTACTTTTAATCTGGTAAATGTATAGCTACATTTTGAAACATGACTGGATTTTTAATCTATTATAATCAAAGTGTGTCTTTTATAATAATATGTTTGCACTTTGCAGGCACTGCCCAATGAAACAACTAAAGTTTGTACAGAGGATGTAATGGTTATTACGCATGGATCGTCCAAAGAATTCAAAATTTGCGGTCCTTATAATGACAAACATGGTAAGAGATATTCTTCTTTCATACACAACAGAGCCATATGTAAATAGCCATATATATATATATAGTCCATATATAGCCCATGTAGAGTTTTATAAATTGAAATTATACAGAGTTTCATTTATGTGGATTACCTCTGAAAGTATTAACTTTTTTCAGATTTTTATTTTTTTTTTTGAACATTATTACAAAACTATTATATGTATTACCCCTATTTTTGGAGATGAATTGATTACTTACTTTTAATTTTCAAATAGCAATCTATATAAAAAAAATTCCGTAATAAATTAATTTTAAATTAATTTTGGTATTGACATTTTTGATTTTCATTGACTCCTTGAAGAGATATTCTACTTTTAAAATTAAGCAGAGGAAGTAGTAGGCTTTATTAAAACAACCTGCATTATGCTGCCACATAATCAAAGCTTCAGTACTCTATCCTATCCAAACTTAAAAGTGGAATATCTTGTCAATGGGTTAACTGAAATAAATAAATTTCATCATTTATTTAAACTAATATTAAATCTATTTATGAAATGTTTATATAGTTAATTATTTAATCAAAAATAAGTCGGTTTACCTCCAAAAATAATTGTGGTAAATAAATAATAAATAATGGTAATTTCAGAGCTGTTTAAGCTCAATTTTAAAGCTTACAATTTTATTTTAAATTGTTAAAGAAAAAAATTGAAAATTAATATCTTTCGTAATGATGAGTGTCTTCATTTAAATGGATTACTGTCAACTTGTATAGTCCTATTATCATAATATATTAATAACATGTCAAATTTATAGTTTACTACAACTTGGAAGATGACAATGAGGAGTTTATCTATATCAACATTACACTGTTCAAGAAAAACTTTGACCGCGATTGGGAGATCAAAGTGAGTATCCTTGACACAACTAGGGAAGAGGGGATGAGGAGCGTAACCTCCCCAAAATTACTAATAGCTTCCCCAAAATAAATAATATTTCATATTTTCTTGAATTTAATGAAGAATAAGGATTTTAAATATTTCTGTTACTAAAACAAAATATATGGATGTATATTATCATACATAATAATTTAAAAAAAAAAAAAATGTTTAACTACTCAATGTCAAGAACTTCACTTAATTTCTGTAGTTATGCTATTATAGTTCATGTATTAACCATAACACAAATTAATTTATTTCGCATAAATTGTTTATAAATAGAACATAGTATATCATGGTAATAATCAGTAACATATCAACTTCTGTATCCACTTCTTCGACTCATGTTGTAGCCACTATTATTGCTGTTTGATCTCGCACTTTTCATCATTTCTTTTAATATGTCATTATGGATTACTGAAATAAAAAGTATTTTGGCCTTATTCAACTTCAATAAAAAAAAGCCAATCAAATTCAAATAATGTTCAACCCTGCTTTGACACAAAGATTAAAATGGCTGTGTTTAAAAATGTTTATTGTATTGATAAAGAAATAATTAGTTTTTATCATCAACGTACATTTTCTGCTATGAGGCAAATAAATGCCTACTTGAGGTCTACAATAGACTTAGATCATATACAATGGATTGAGCCACAGCTTATAGATTACATATAATATCAATGATGTACATGTTAGCAGTGCCAGCGACTAGTCCCATATTTATCTCATATTTTCATCATATATATTTTGTTTTTATCTATAATGCATTATTGGTACTTTATACAGATTTCAGTTTATTACCAAACCAATAAATTCAAGTTTTGGTTCATTAAAATGTATATAATTATTATTAGTTATTTAATATTTATCACACCATTGGGACTAGTCGCTAGTATGCATGCACTATAAAGGCAATTCACCACTACTAACATATACATCAAAATATTGAGCTGTGGCTCCATCCATTATATATGATCTAAGATAATAGATTAGGATTGTTCAGTAATTTATCCATATTGAGTATTAAAAAATATATAGTAATTGATTCTGAATAAATTTTATAAAAATGTAAAGCTATAAATAAAATTAAAATAAAACTTTTAAGTTTTTAATTTTCATCAATCTTTTTGATTGACAAATCAATTTTTTTAGTATATGATAATCATTCAAACTAAAATATTTTTTCATTTGTTGTAGTATTTAAATTTTAAACTGTGAGGGGGTTTTGCTTCCCACGAATATTTGGTTCAATATTAAGGTAGGGCTGTAGCAATTCCCCTTATATTTAGTGCTATCTGAGTCACTGATCATTGATTAGATGGAAATTTTCAAGACATTTTTATCTATTTTTTAAATTTGTTTGAAGGTTACACAGCTGATGGGACATCAAAAGGTGCCAGACATGTGCTTTCAGTTCTTTGAAGAGATAACGGGAAGTGTGCAGATGACTAATATCACACTCAACGGTGGGGACCTAAACAGTGGCAAAAATAACCGAATTTGCATTTTGCATAAGCCACGTATGTAAATTACATAATATGAAATAGCCATAATTACTTAAAAGTGATCTCTAGGCCAGTTGCGTTTGAGGGGTTTTTCCCTTGACAGGTTTTCTGGAAGATAGTTGGAGTGATGAGCGATGAGGAAGTTTGGAGTGGAGGCGAGTATAGAATTTGGCAGCTGTTTGTTTGATAGTAGCAATTTTTAGCTCGTTGTGAAGGCTGACATTGGTAACACCCAGAGGGCATTCGCAGGCAAATGGATTGGAAGGCTTGGATAGTTCTAGTATTTGCTGGTTTGGCTGAACCCCTGAGGGTGACTCCGTAGGATCAAATAGGTAGGAGTAAGCTCTTATATAATAGTAGACGGTTAGAGGCACTCATTTTTGATTTTAGGAGTGGTCTTAAAGTATGCAGGCGGCTGTTTAGTTGTTTCTGTTTATTTTTGAGGTGAAGGCCCCAGGTGAGACTTTTGTCAAAGACTAGACCGAGGTAGTTTACTTCACTAGTCTGAGGTATGATTTCATTGTTGAACATTAAGGGGGGGTGGTACCCCGGACAGAGTGTAAATGTGACATGAGCTGATTTGAAGTCGTTGAGGTTGGGATGTCTGTAGTGAATAAAGTATAGAGGAGAGGAGCGATGTCACTACCTTGTGGGACATCTGCTGAGATTGTTTGCATACTGAAGAGAATTGTATTTATTTTTACTTTGAAGCTTCTGTCACTTAGGTAGGATTTGAGAAGTAAGTAGTATGGCGCTGGGAAGATGTTTTTGAGTTTGAATAACATACGGTATCAAACGCCTGAGCCAAGAAAACTTCCCGAACAGTAATTTTTAGTTTCAAGTGTTGAGGAGATAAAGTCTACAACTCTGTGTAGTTGGTGGAACATTGCATGATTGGCTCGGAAGCCAAATTGAAAATCGGGAAGGGCATTTTGCTTTAGTGCGATGGCAGTGAGTCTCTTGAGAAGGATTTTCTCAGATATTTTTCCGAGTGTGGGAAGGAGACTAATTGGTCTATAGGATTCAGGAGTGTCGGGAGGTTTTCCAGGTTTTGGGATTCTTATTATCATGGCCGATTTCCAGGTGGTTGGGAAATAGGACAGACGGAAAATAGCATTAAAAATATATGTGAGAAGGATAATGGTTTTAGGTGGTAGGGTTTTGACTGTTGTGTTGTTTATACCATTATGCCATCGTTTAAGCCATAATTATAAAATAATTTAATAACATGCTATTGCTCTGTTTCTTGTTTCCATATAGATATGTGTTCTATCACTTACCAGCCATGCATCGAACATGTAATCCAACCACAGCTTGGTAAGTACTTATGATTAATATCCACCCCTATAAAAACATATTATAGGCTTTTGTAGACTTCCAAGGTATCATTTATATTTAATCCAAAGGAACAGAGAAAAAGTTTGTTACATAAGACAATATGTATATCTATAACATAATTTGTTTCATAAAATATTATTCATTGTCTTGGTCTTCCTCTCCCTGGTTTCTTCTTTAATTTTCCTCCCATTAATATAGGTATCGATGTATTATTCCTTAAGTGATAGCATATCCATTTTTTCTTCTTTCAACGATTGTTCAATATTTACCTACATCATTAATTTTATGGTATACCTCATCATCTAAGAGATTTTTAATAACCTTTGCTAATACCAAGGTTTAAAAGCTTTATTAGTAATTTATTGGATAGATTCTATCCTACTAACCTCTTTTTGTTTTTCTCTAGATAGATTTCTTTCAAAATCATAAAATGCTTTTATTTTATTTAATAATAAATACCTATCACAATAAGGCTCAAATTTTTAATGCAATGTTCATTTTTTGTAGTTCATTTAAAATATATAATTTGAATGTAAACTTTTGTTTCCCAATTTTTACTGCTTTTTTATTTTTTTGGTTTTTAGAGCATATTTAATCCAAGCCTTTCCTATTTTAATTCATTCACATTAATTATGGTGATTTCAGTTTCTTCCTTAACTGTTCGCACCATTCAGTTTGGACTCAATTTATGGGAAGAGATTGTGGATGAAAAAACAGGTGTTTGTCAAGACTACAAGCAAAAAATGTGTCACTATCGATTTTGAATTACCATAATATCATATTACCTACTACTTAATATTTTTTTAAACATTATCTCATAAGGCAATCATGTATTTTTCAGTAAAGATATTAAAATTAGAGTCATATAGTACATAAAGTACAATTTATTAAACTAACAATAAAAAACAAAATTGTAGGTATATGTTGTAAATGTCTTAGTTTTATTAAAGATAAACCTAATTACTTGAGCAAATTTTACAGTAAAATTAGTGTATTTCACAAACTAAGCAGACAGCAATATATAGTTATTATTTAATTTGCAGATTTAGTACCACCATTTATATATTGGCGAAAAAATACAAATTAAAGGCTCTGGATGTGAGTATTTTAGAGGGTCTATTCTTTTTTTGGAAACCTAAAATACTTAGATGTATACATAGGTATACATAGGTAATAAATATAATAAACACATTAAATATTTTAATATTTACAAGAACAATTTATTTATCTACATAGATATTATCTTGAAATATATTAGTATAAAATAAAATAAACATGAGGGTGGGCTGTAGCGGTTTTATTATTTCAAGAAGTTAGGTCGTAGATATGCTATGATATGTATAATAAATAATAATATAATATTAAAGCATGATGTACCTAACTACATATTATGTGTGTATATTACCATGTTATATAATTATCAGAACTTGAAATATATAGTACCTTAACAGTTTTTGATTTTTTTGTTGTTTGAAATTATTATACTTACTTCACATATATGTTTAGATTCTGAGTGGATCGAAGAAATTTATGGTTTTACAAAGATGTTTATTTTTTATTATTTTTTTTCTGTGGACAATTTTTCTATCAGCAATTTTGCTCCTATTTTTAATGATATCAACGTTTCTAAAAGGAAATTCCATTGGGGTGGTATTTTATAGAGGTCGTTTTTCCATTTTCCCCAGAGTTTACTCAGCAAGGTTAGGTTAGGTTAGGTTAAAAAACTGGGATAATCAGTACAACATTAAAAACATATTATTTAAGAAAATATATAAAGCCTTTAAGTTTATTTCATTATAATATGGCATATATATTGTTGACAAAGCAATCAAAATCAACTAAACTCCGCTCAGAATCGTTTTTTTTCACAAGCAATGGTTTATATAATTACTTACAAGTATACATTAAATTAGGTACCTATGAAACTAGCCTAATGTAGGAATAGTACTTGGAGGAAAAATGTTTGAAATAAATCAAACTCCAACTTGAGTTTATAAATAATTAATATTTTACACACACAAAAAATCTACAAGTCCAATAAATAAATTCACAAAAATAATACAATTCACAAACATCGAAAAATATTCTAAGTCCAATTTAATTTCACACACAAAAATATTTCATGTTTAATGGGAGTTCGGTAAATATTGTTGCTTTGTCAACAATAAACATGCCATATTATGATAAAATAATTCCATTTGCATTATATATTTTCTATAATAATAATTTTTACTAAAATAATAATTCTCACATTAATATAAAAATTCTTATAAAAAAAAAAAAAAAAGAATACATTAAACAATTTTAGTTTTTACCACTAATTACAGCTTAAAAGTCCTTTTAAATTTTCTAGCATTTCTATCTAACAATTTTATCCACAGAATACTAACTAAATAAAAATTACGGAAAATCTCACAAAATTAAAGTGTCTATAATTAGATAGCTAAAAAGTTTCTCAAATGTTTTGAAAATTTAACCATGTCTAAAAAAGGCAAATATAAGATTTCTATCTAAATTTCAAGTTCCTATGAATGTTTTTAACTGAATTACAACAAAAAATCAAAATTTAAAATAACAAAATCATTATTTTTGTAAATTTTCCTGTTTTTATCAATTATTAAAAAAAAAAAAAATGAATTTCTTACTCACCAATTATATTATAACTGCAACAAGAAGACTTCTTGATGTTGTTCAATTAGAGTAATATTTATGGTAGAAATCAAAAGTTGAACATATTAAAATAATTAAACAGGGATATTACCATAAATATTAATTCATTTTAATTTATTAGTTTTTCTGTATAATATTCAACAAATTGAATATAGGTAAATAGTTTTAAACTAGATAGCAAGTCATATTTTAATTTATCATTTATATACAAATTGGTGTAGTCATTCATTTCAATATTACAATAAATCTGAGAATGCTGTCAATATAATTATGTCTATGGGCAGACTTTTTTTATCCCTCATTTATAGTCACTTATGAAAACATAAAGAGCAGGAGAAAAATTCACCCAGTACTGAAAACCCCATTTTTAATTTTGAAAACATATTTGAATTCATTACTAAGCTTCTTGACTAAGTTTTGTAAGAAATTAATAATTTTGATTTGTTGTTTTATTGATTGAATTATAGTAACAAAATATATTTCAAAGATTAATTTTAACTATGGTGTTACGACAAAAAAATTTTTCTTAAATAACATAGACAAGAAGCTAACAAATTTAAATATGTTTCAAAAATAAAATCGGACTTCTGAAAGTATGTTATTTTTTCTTCCGCTTATTGGCCTAAATGCAAGACCTAACCAAGCCACTTTCAACCACCTTAACTAAATTTTTTTTTAACTTTTACCAATGTTGTAAAATAGGTATTGTTTATAAAAATTATCAATAGTTAAACTTGTTTGAAAAACAATTATTTTTATTACTGTAAGTACAAATATGAATTTACCATATTAATATTATCATTAGATAGATAGTTATTATAAATCATGAATCTCTTTTTCAAAATAGGAATTCAATACAGTAACATAGGTATTTCATAATACCATTATGATTAAATACAAGTTGTAGTTTCCTAAGATAATCTAATCAATTATGCATAAAAAAAATAATTATAGTTATGATTTACCTATAGAGGCACACCTGAAGAGGTTAGAACAAATGTTTCAACCCACGAAATAAGGTATAATAATCACACAATGGTATGATTACAAAATATAACAAACTAAAAATGAATCAATTAACTATTAATACAAAACCTACAAACGATTATGGATAATCTGAAAAGAAATGTGTGTAGAATAATACAAAAAAAATAAAAATCATACGAATAACTGAATTGAAAAAGGTTTGATTAATTTAGAACACAAATTAAGCTCGTTCGCCTCGGATACGTCTTGCCAATTGAATGTCTTTTGGCATGATGGTCACACGTTTGGCATGAATGGCGCATAAGTTGGTGTCCTCAAACAGTCCTACTAAGTATGATTCACTGGCCTCCTGGTAAATATCATAAAATAAAGATAAATCATTGAATACGAAAAAAATAAAATAACATGAAGAACTCTCCGTAAAATTATCAAGGAATTGATAAATTATTGTACTTGGTATGGTGAGATGCTTGGATTAATTATAGAAGGCCTAAGAGGATGTGTGGATTAGTTAACACACAGAGTAAATAATGACTCTAGCTTATTTGTATTTATAAGTTTATGAATGTTATTGTGAATATAAATATTTGTACATTTCTATAGCCTCAAATAATGTGTTATTAATTAATTAATCATTTTATAGATAAAATGTAATTAGTTTTGTGTTATCTTGGTTTTTATTCAGTTTGTAGAAGTGCATAAAGTGATTGGAATTAGTGTTTGGAAATAATTTATCACATGTAAGTAATTAATTTTGAGTTTTTTTTTCTTATTTTTATGATGTTCTTTTTGAAACAATAAAAGCACAAAAACATTTGTTATCATTTAGTCAATGTGTGTCCGGATTGCTATGCTCAATAAGCTAAATAATAAAATAACGATAAAAATTTATAGGTAATTAAAATTTTTTTCAAGGTAGTTTTTAAGAATTGATTGAGAATAATTGTATTTATAAAAATAGTTTAAATAACTTGGAAACCAATTATTTACATCTAAGTTGGTTTTAATTTAATTACTAATACAATACATATAAGAAACAGAACTTGAAAAAAATTACCATGTGATAATGGAAACAGTATGAGTGATGATGGTTAAAAATGTTGCTTTATGTAAATATAAATAAATAACACATATTTATAAATGCATTATTTCATTCCTATTTATGTCCAAAAGAGGTGGCAAATTGGCATCAAAAATAGAACCATTTAACACATAATTCTTAATTAAAAACAAAATTAAATATAGTTTATATTTTATATTAGCTATGATATGCAACAAATAATGATGAATCAAAATTCATATGACAGCAAAGTAGATTTTTACCAATAAAAGTTAGAAAGAAAATAGATAATAGAGAAAATTGGAGGATTTTCGCATACTAATACTAAGATTGATTATAGAAAATAAGAAAAACATACCTATTAGGTGAAAATTATTAATGAACTGAAATACTTATGTACAGGACGGTACGTAGGTATAGTATCTATAAACATTTTAAAATTAAAAAACAAACTTGTAACGCCCCGATAGCTGCACTCTGAAAACGCAGATCAGTTTTGAAATCTTGTGCGATTTCACGGACCAAACGTTGGAAGGGCAATTTGCGGATCAGCAACTCAGTAGATTTCTGATACCGGCGGATTTCACGGAGAGCGACAGTTCCCGGGCGGTAACGATGAGGCTTCTTCACGCCACCAGTGTTCGGCGCACTTTTCCTAGCAGCTTTTGTCGCCAACTGTTTCCGGGGAGCTTTGCCACCAGTAGACTTGCGCGCTGTCTGCTTAGTACGAGCCATAATTCAACTACAGAAAAAAAATTACTAGTGCGAACTACTAATTAACTAAACTACTATAATGAAGTATCAGTGATTCAGATGTTAACTTTTATAACAGCAAGCAAACATTTTTTAAAGCGTATTAAATTCCATTAATTTACTGACGTGAAAATAAAAAGGGTGCCTATTATTATACTCGTCTCGAAATCTCAAATAACGCAATCAGCCGGTTGCGTATTTGACATTCAATAAGTACCTCGTGATTGCAGTTTGTAATATAGGTACTTCCACCAATATTTACCAATACATACCCAATATATAGGATTCCAAATCACAGATTTATTTCAAAACATAGTTATATTTGTATACTTACTTTGATAGTTATTAAATGCGGCAAATGATTGATGGACGACAGTCGGCTAATAGTAATAATACGGACGAGAACGTTTTTTATAATTTCTCAGCGGCAAAACAAATGGCGAATAGTGAAATGGAAAATGAATACACTATACAGAAGGTCCGTGGTTATTGGTTAGTAGGTTAGTAGTAAGTTATCGTCCATGATTAGTGGAAAAATTACAAGACCGCCTCCGCCAGTCACTGTATAATATTACTTGGTATTTATCTATGGTATGGTTTCAGTGAAACGGTCAAAATCGGGAATAAATGGAGGAAAATAATCAAAAATAAACCCCCAAATTTATTATGCAAAATCACATCTGGTAGAATTTTCAATCTTATTTCATGCGTAGAAATTCATATTTCTGAAGTTGACGTAACCAATCTCCTGAAATTGGATTTTGATGATATCTCGTTATCAGAGTCGGGAGTACTGTACGGGGTTCTTACCACAGCCCATGGTTGGAAATATACCACAGATAATATATTATAGTATAATAAAGATATTTGTGAAATATACAAACCGAGTTTTCATTGCACCCATAAAGTGATTACACCATGCATCGTACATTAATTTACGTATTCTGATAGGCCGAACGGTTTGGTCAATACTAGGAGCAAATTCGAGAGCGGCAAACGGGAGTGCGTAAAAACTCCTAAAATATTTTATCTGAAAAATAATTTATTTCTAAAATATATTGTTAGAAATGTATATTATAGTCAAAAATTCACAAACATATTTTATGCGAAAAATATGTTGTCCGAATCGTATTTTAGACGAAAATATTCGTTATCACAAAAATAGTGTATTAGAAAGAGATAAAGAATACTTTATTCTAATAGTGATTACTAGGTATTTCTATCTCTGTCTTTATAAATAATATTATATTCACCTAATTACCTTAGATCATAATACTGTATATTATTACCATCATAGTGTATGTGATCTAAGCCTTATTATTTAGGTATATTATGAATTATGATCATAAAAGAACTTAAGAGTCGTCATCAAAAGAACGAGCTATCTAGAAGAACTGAATACAGCTGTACCAGGTGATTCATTTAAGTGAGCACACTCATTATCTTGGAAAATATTAATTTTTTTTCGGAATTTGTTTTCTAGAACATTCAAGAAACAAGCAGCTCTAAAATCTAATATTTATATAATTTTGTTCACCCTTATTTTTGAAGGTAAAACCACTACCTACTTATAATTTTCAAACGGCAACCTATGTTAAAAAGTCAATAAATAGATGGAGTATTAGTTAAAATTAATTTTAGTGTTGAAATTTTTGATTTCCGTTCATCCGTTGAAGATATATTCCACTGTTAAGTTTGAGTTGGAGGAGAGTAGTAGAGTATCATTTGTAATAATACAGCGTGTGGCGTATTAATAATGCACTACTCTCCTCCAATATAAAAATTAAAAGTGGAATATCTCGTTAACGACTACAGAAATCAAAAATTTCAACTCTTAAATTTGTTTTAAATAATAAACCTTTTATTTATGAATTTTTTAATATGGGTTGTCTTTTGAAAATCAAAAGTAGGTAGTGGTTTTACTCCCAAAAATAAGTGTAAATAAATAAATAATCTATATATAAAATTATAGACCTGCTTATTTCTTAAATGTTCTAGAAAATAAATTACGAAAAAAATTAATGCTTTCCAAGATAATGAGTGTACCCCCTTAAATGAATCACCAGTATATTAAATACTTGCATGTATCCTACACTTAAAAAATTTGTGATTTTTTACGTGTTCAAATTTTCATCAAATTTAAGCCATTTTTGAGCTATTTATAAACATTTAAATTGTACTAATTTTATACTTAATTTGTATTTGGTAGGTATTGTTAGACTAAACATGAAAATTTAAAAAGAGGTCCATTAAAAGTTTTACTTTGTGGTCAAAATAAACAATTAGAGTTTTACGTAGTATTTTTTTTTTTTATAGAAGAATTTCAATATCAAATTTTGATGAAAACTGTAAACAAATTATGTGCAATGCATTAGTTAGCAATAGTTTATTGTTACTTACAGGTACAAATAAATTCCCTTCTATATCCTACATTCCCAACAATGGTTGGCATCCATCGCGGGAAATAATTCAATCTTTTTTTTTATTAAATTTTATTAATATAACAATAAAAGAATATCTTATACAATAGTTTAATTAAAAATAAGAATTCAAATTATATTTTTATTTTATAAGATAACATCAAAATTAAAATTTACTAGGTGATGAATATTGACCACTTAACTTTATATATCAACAATCCCATATTATAACTTGCAATACAAAGTTGTAGGAAGTTTCATATATGTCTCCTAAAATCACTTAAGTGTTAGTTTAGTTGTATATTGCTAAAAATATTCTTGAGTATAGTTTTGTCAATTATTCGGATAATTAGAATAATTTTTATAACAACTCAATAATCAGATTATTAATTAAAATTAATGTAATTTAAAAACAATGTAATTAAATGATTAATTCATTGTGTATTATTGATAAAAATGTCATTTGTTGGAGGAAGGCTAAGCCCCACCTCTATTTACACCACTACAGATGGTTAAAGACATTCAAATAGTTCGGATAATTTTAATTATCCAAATGAAATTAATTTCGATATCAGGTGTCAATGATGTAACCTGGTTAATCAAATTTCTTTGCTTCGCTCTAATATACTTACAACCCTTTTTATAACTTTCAAATTACAACTATATAAGTACTTTTCAACACCTTACTGAATAAAAAACAATGAAACCACAATCACTTTCTATTTTAAATATACCTACTCTTAAAATGAAATGTATAAAACAAAAATTGTTGAAATATCTACTAAGTTTTGAGTAGATATTTAATCACAAATGTTATAATTTGTATTTTATTACTTACATATAAAAAAATGAACTGTACAAAATATTATGCAAATTCATGAAATTCCTCGCTCTACAATCTACATACATTTTATAGTATCTAATTATAAATTTATATAATTGATCTTTAGTAATAAAAATAAAATTATTTATCAAATAAATATAATAATATGCATACATATTTTAATAACTATTATTATAATCTTAAGTATTTTCAATAAACTTTCTTTTTCTTCCATAGTTTCTGGTTCCTTACTGACTTTTTTTTGTTCTAGTATCTTCAGCAGTTTTACAATTTACCAACAAACTATACTGACATAATTTATTGGTTCCCATTCCATCTAGTGGAGGAACATTTATAAATATAAAACTGGTTACATATTTAATAGTTAATATAGAATATAATGTGGTGCATATATTATTCATTAGACTGAACTACTGTTCATTCTACTGTGAATAGTGAATAATACTCAAACTCGGTCATAGCTCTCAGCCTCTACAGCCTATAGGTACTAAACTCACTATGACAATGGCTTCCCATGATGGGTGGGTCACTGTTGTAGATGTGAAGGTGAGAAAGAAAGATAAAGAAGGGAATTTAATTTATATCTGTACTTTGTACACAATGATTAACTATTTTTATTGAAAAACGATTCAGAACAAAATTTGATTACACATGTTTTAATAGGCCATAAAATAAACAAATTTCATCAAAATTTTATATTAAAATTCTTATATCTGAGTGTTGCTACTGGGTAGCTTCTCTCCTCACTCCCTCATGTCATTAAAATATATCTGAATGCTCATATGAATCATATGTTTATTGTAAATATCATTACAGATTGTATAATTGATAAAAAAAAAAAAAAAAAAAAAAACTACATTAAACTCAATAAATTTTTTTTTTAACTTATAATGAAGGTCATTATAGGTATTAGATTAATGAGAGATTAGGTAAATATAGGTTAAGGGAATAATATAAAATATAAATAATAATATAATAATATAAAACTAAAGGTCCTTTTGAAAAGTCGGGTTTTATTATATTAAATAATTTATTAACAATATTAAATAGATTGAATTTTATTTTACATTATACTAGTTGGTGGGATATTAGTTAGCAATTTGCCAACTAATATTTCCCCCCACTAGTTACTGATGACCGGACCTGTTGACTGGAGCTGGTGGCGTTGACTTGTGTAAACTTGAATGTGGACAGGTCCGAAGTGAGGTCATTGTACCAGTGGGGGCTATAATTAAATAAAACGAAAATTAATTAATATTAAAACAGATACCTACGAAATAAGTTAAAATTATCAAAATTAAATTAAATTGACCTTTATTAGCTGGATTTAGTTTACTGTTAATATTTAAATTTAAATAATTGATTTGGAACTATAATAATTTTAAAATAAATATAAAATATAATATTAATTGAATACCTACGGTTTCAGTTAAAATTTATTTTTTTTTTTTCTAATAACTAACCAACACTAATTTACATCAAGTAGATAAGTAGTTTCATTAGTTTTTTCAATTCTTCATATTAAGAACAGTGATAAATCTTTTAAAAGACCAATGTTGGATGATTCAAAGTGTTTAATCAATTCTATTTAAGTTATCAATTGCTATGTTAGTAATTTATAAAGTAAGTTTAAACAATTATTTTATTCCATTTTACCTCTAATATTCTATTAGCCAAATATAAGAACATACATGATGTATGTGGACTTTGGCTATTAATAAACTGTGTATCAAATTGTATCGTATTTTTAAAAAACTAAATACATTTTAACAATAAAACCATACAAATTTAAATTATTTAAAATTTAATAAAATTCAATACTTTTCAGTTTTTCCTTTGAAATTCCGATGTGGTTAGTTTTTGGTTTATTCGAGTAGGCTGTTTTCATAGGTAGGCTATTCATTACTAGTTTACCACTCATATCTACAATTTTCAAAAAAATAAATTAATGTTATTAATTAATAGATGTAATATTTACACATATATTATATAATAAACACAGGCACATATTGTCTTCTCATTTAATACAGAGGACTCTACTACTTTTTTACCTCTAAGTATAATTTTTAATAAACCTCAATTTTTTGAGCATTTGTGTAGATGTTAAAATGAGTTTTATCTAAATAAAAAGTAAATAGAAATTGTACCAACAGAAACAGTAGTAGTAGTAATCAAAATGTCATTGTTTTTATAAATTATAAATTGGAATTTTAAAGACTAATAAAAAAAATAATCTAGACTATAAATTTTCAATTTTTATTTTCTTGTAAAAACAACTAATGGGGAACAACTTGTCCAAATGTTTTGAAAGTGATTAAAAATTTTTTGGTGTTTTATCCATATAAAACAAACAATATTAAATTTAAATTTATAATTTTGAAATTTTATCACTTTTACTACATTTTAGGATAAGTAAAAAAAACTACCTTCAAATGTACCAATTAGATGAAATCAGAAATGCAGATATTACTTTTGAAGTTGATGATATTCGCATCCTTAAAGTATATATATTTAAGTTTAATAATACTAATATTAGCTATGATACATGAAATCATTAATTTATTAAGTTCATTGAAACTGTACTTGTGCATAAATTTTAATATCCTACTATAAAAGTAGATTAAATACTTAAAATTTTAAATAGTCTAAACTATATCATTATTAATGAAAAAAGTGAACAAGTGTATTAATAACTAGTACAGGAAAATATAATGGGCCCACCCTGAAATTCCTGGTTTCTAGTGAGCCAGTATGCATCTGTAATATACAAATTTAATAATTACTTCTTTTTTTCACAAGTTTGCCTAAGGAAAGATAGTTAATTGAGAATGGACTATTTTTGTCAAAACAAACAAAAATGTATTGATTTAAAAACTAAATTAATCATTTAATATTAAAAATATTACCCAACATAAGTACAATCGGTGGTTCATATTTTGTAGATCCATTTTCATTTTTAGGTTTTAAAAAATCTGACAAATCTTTAAATTTAGCACATACTGTTGTTAATGGCTTATTAGGCCATTGCAGGTTCATTGGTCCTAAATAAAAACAAACAAACAAACATAATTTTAGAAGACACCAAGCTCGCATTTACTGTCTTTGGTTAACCACCAAACATAAGAAAATTACATTAGTTAGAACATAAATATGGTTGTGCTTGGGTTAAATTATTTTAAACACAAATAAATTTAAACAGAGAATAATACCACTAGAGCTGATTATACAAATTTATCATACAAAAAAATTACAACTATTTAAAACAAAAAACAATATGACTATAACTATTTTTTACACAAACATTTTTGAAAAAAGCTATATACAGCCCTCAGAAATATTTCTCTCTTTAAATTTTATAGTTGGTGTTTTCAGATTTAAATCTTAAGCCAAAATATATTTAAATAAGTAATATAATTTTGATATATTGCTCGTTAGATTGAGACACTAGATGGAGGTGTAGCATACTTTAAGGCACCCTGTGCTAATGTTGTTTTGCTCACAAAAATACACTCTACTAAAATAGTGATACTGGTTAAGAGAATCAAACAATTTTTTTCTTTTAAATTTATAGAAGAAAATAATCTATTACATTGAACTTTGTTTTTCAATATTTTATTCTCAACATTTATAATGAATCTTTAAAAAAAGTAAATTTCAAGCCTTTTTTTGTACATTTGAAATCTGAATAAAAATATCAGAGTTCAATGTAATTTTGTATAATGTTGTTTAAAATATTGAATTGATAATGAGTTATCACTATTTCCATTTAGTTATATTTATCAGTAAAAACAGCCTCACCTCTTTCTCTTAAATTAGTATCAGGAAGTGGATCAGTTGGAAGATCTTATCTTTAAGGTGGTAATTGAAATGTTGAAAATAATTTTTAAATTTTTCAAAATTTGAAAAGCCCCATAAGTAATTGTAATATAATATTTTATAGAGAGTAAATAATCTACTTACATGGTTATTACACTATTGTAAATGGGAAGTTGAAAATATAGTATTAGAATGTAATGAGTTTATTAGTAATTGATTTATTAACTTAGATACTAAAAATGATGATAAATTATCGGAAATAAAATAATAGTTATGAATTGAAACTTTGAAAAAAATGTATTTTTTACTAAATTCAAATTGAAAATGTTAATAATTTTTAATCACACAAGAAAATTTGAAGTTTTTAGTGATTTTAACTATTTTCATTGAAATTCTCTAATTTAGATTACCAAGAAGAAAAATATACATGTATATTATGTCGTAACAATCAATTTTTTTTTAGATTCTGAGCGTGTATTAGTTTTATTATTGATAAAGCACCTATTATTTTTTTGTCAATGAACAAATTTTTACCAGAAATCTTGCTCCAATTATCAACTTTGAATGTGGTCTTAGGTAGCAAATTTATTTTGTCAAGTTGGTGCATCATTTTTAATTTTCCTTGTAGTTTTCTTAAGAAAAACCCTCTAATAAACAGAAATGTTTACACAATGCCATATTATAATTGTTATTTTTTATTATTTTTGTAATTCAGTGATAATTCAAGACCTTACAATTTCACCAAATACATAGTTAGCCATTTCTAGACATAGTATAATTTTCAAAGCATTTTATTGATTTTTTAACTATAACTACTTGAAACTTTTATCAAATAATTTTTCTGAGGAAAAAATTTCCCCCCAAAGATAAATATGGATGTCACTACAATCAATTCATCATGAAATTTTTATTGATCACACAAATTCCAATATTTAAGTTAAATCTGGAAAAAAATGCATTACATTGTCACTTAGCATATAAATGTCAAATATCATTAAACAAATTGTTCCTGAATTTATCACTATTGTTATTTTTTTAACTCAGCATTATTTGGAATTTTAAGGTCTGATGAGAAATTTGATGAGATTTCAATGAGAAAGAGTCTATAAATTATCTTAAAGGTAATTTAAAAAATTTAGTTCTATTGGTGTTTAAGCAGTCTACTTTCATTGCTGAATACATTATTAAATTGCAATCAAAGAGTAAAAAAAAATTATCTTTTATTGACAGAAAATAATAAAATTGATTGACTGCATATCCTAATATATTGCACTGCAAATACAGATAAACGCAAAAAAAAATTTTGATTGTTTAGCATCAATATTGATTAAACTTTTGATCAAGTATCAATTATCCATCAATGGATATGTCCCCTTTAAATTTTGAAAGATTGTTATCTATTTAAGGCAAAAAATACTAGTGATCTTTTCTTTATATTTAAAAGTATAATAAAAAAAAACCAAAAATCTTGATTAGTTAAATGATTTAGTTGAATAATTGTACAGTGATGCATAGAAAGTACAAATGACTACAATTAAAGCACAAAATAAACATGTAACATTTGTGTAGCTAGCCCATCAGTTTGAATCTTATTGTAATAAGTGGTTTTATCAAGTAATAACATAGTTACACAGTATTATTAATTTATATGATGGACCTAGGGACTTATAGCATGTTTCATTAGTAAGACTAATATTTTGTATTAAAATTCGGTTTTCTAGGAATTAATTCATAACTTTTTTTCAATTTTATTGGACTACAATGTTTAATTTTGAAACAGAATCTTGATGACTTTCAATACAAATATTGACATTTAATAATATCACACAATACTCTAATGAAAATAATTTTATTTTACTAGTATAATCATTTAATTGAAATATTATTTTTACCTGAGCTAGTGGGGGGTAATTCTCGAACAGAGTGAGACACATTCAGAGATTTTGATTCTTTATTGAAATTTATCTCAGATTTTTCTTGTTTTTTATATTCCTTTCTCTCAGAAGTGAGCGAAGAAGATATCAGAGAAATTTCCTTCTCAGAATCCTTCTCTAGTGTTTCTTGTTTTTTATATTCATTTTCCTGTTGGGAAGCAAGTGGAGAAGATATCAGAGACATTTCCTTCTCAGAATCCTTCTCTAGTGTTTCTTGTTTTTTATATTCATTTTCCTGTTGGGAAGCAAGTGGAGAAGATATCAGAGAAATTTTCTTCTCAGAATCCTTCTCTAGTGTTTCTTGTTTTTTATATTCATTTTCCTGTTGGGAAGCAATTTGAGAAGAAAGTAAAGATATTTCCTTCTTTCGTTTTTTCTTTAGTATCTTATCCTGCTTCTTCATTTTCTTTTCATTATTATCCTGTTTTACCTTCTTTATAATATTATCTGGCTTCTTCTGTTCTTTCTTATCTAGTATCATAGTTTTTTTAATACAATCCCTTCTTTTTCTAACAATATTATTTAGTTTTCTCTTTTCAACATAACCGTGTTTTACCTTATTAACAATATTATCTGCCTTCTTCTTTTCTTTCTTATCCAGTATCATAGTTTTTTTAGTACAATCCTGATTCTTCTTTACAATATTATTCTGCTTTTCAATTTCATTATTATCCTGTTTTACTTTCTTTATAATATTATCTGGCTTCTTCTTTCCTTTCTTAACCAGTATCATAGTTTTTTTAATACAATCCTGTTTTACCTTCTTTACAATATTATCTCGCTTTTTCTTTTCGATATTATCTTGTTTTAACATCTTCACAACATTATCTTGCTTCTTCCTCTTTTCTTTCTTATCTACTATCATAGGTTTTTTAATAGGTTTCTTTTTTTGAATCTTATCCCGACTTTTCATCTTTTCCTCTTTATCGGGTGTTTTCTTTTGTTCATTATTCTTTATTTGTATTCTAACCTGTGTTTTCTTTGGCTCCTTTTGGTTCATGTTCACCTTAGGTTTTTTCCTTTTTACTAGTTTCTTTACCCTGAAAAAAAATTGATTGTTAATGAATTTGCATAAAGGGGTGTTGCACTGATGTAGGATTTTACAACTAACAGAATAAGAACATAAATAATTCATAATTCACTTTATTTTTCTTTTAAAGAGGAATAATGTATGCATTTTTAGACATTTGATATTCCTTTTAAAATTTTGAAGGGTTATTAAATTTCAAAAAATTAATTAATCTATGGGCTAATAAATTTTTAAAATATCAAAATGTGAGGGAAACCTTTTTTTATCCAGCCGAACATAGATCACAAGAAGAGCAAAAACATCTTACTTTGGACATCTTTTCCTTAATATAGAAGAATTATTGCAGTTAATTATTTTATATATAAATTCAATAGTTACTTTTTCCTCGCTTCTTTTGCACGCTGAAAGTAAATATAATTCACATCAGTCCACTTCAATAGTCGACTTTCATCCATCCACTCATCCCATTTATTTTTCCAACCGATGTAGTGGATCAGAAATTCGAGTTTGCGATAATCAATGGACTGGCGTGTTTCTTTACATATTCCCTCGTAGAGTTCTTTATTATAATAGACAAAAAGCCGCTCACCTAAAAAAGACAACAAATTGGTAGAGTAACTACCTATTTATTTATACAATTTAAATAAAAACTATTATTCAGGTAGTAATATTGTACCTTCATAAGGAATTTTAAATTCAATGTTATATATATCTAAGAGGACATCTCACCCGGATAACGTGTCTATGGTTTATCAAGTTTAATTATTTAATTTATCATTGTTCATTCACAATACATTATTATAAACTATTTATTACACAACATCAATCAATGTAAAAGGGCCATATATCAAAAATGTTCAAATTCAAGGTTTTGGTGTCTTAAAAATCATAATTTTTTTTTTTAAAACAGTAGGTAGCGTAATTTAAATAATAATATTATTAAATTATCAATTATCAAAATAAATATACAATTGAACTTAAATAGTGAAATAGATAGCTAAGAACAATAATGCCATAAAATAAGATGCAACATGCTTGCATTCAATAAATGGACATTGTTAACAATTTGGTTGTTAATGTTTTTATTAATGTTATTAATGTTAATTAAAAATGTTATTAACATAACAAAATAGACAAAATACAGCATCTTCTTACATTAAACAATTTTTAAAACATCAATAAATTTGCACTGTCAGTTAGAAACATTTAGTTAAAAAATCTATGTGAGTGAATTAAAAAAATACTTTTATCTAGATGAATATTTGGAAACTATAGGTACACCTTCAAAACAGTTAAAAATTAAAACTTCATTGTGAATTATCACAGAGTTTGAATATATAATACTATAGTACAAGTAAAACAAGTATTTTAATGTATATAATTTTTTTTTTCAGCTATAATAGAACAAAAATTATCAGGTAAAATAATTATCAATTGTATTTAATTATCATTTTATAAAATATTTTATATTAATTACCAAAAATATATGTGATAATCTATTACAATAATTACTTTATTCTTTATTAATTACTACATAAATATTTATAATACAAAAAAAAAAAAAATTTGTTATGTTTTTAATTCATTCTAAATTTAAGAAAATTCACCAAGTTGATGTGATATTTTAAATTAATTTATAAGTTTAAATACATATTAAAATTTAAAATATACAGTATTATCACTATTATAAATTGTAATTAACTTAAAAAAAATATAAAAAATGTCTTAGTCATTATAAAGTTAATTATTAATTTTTATGGAACGTAGACAGTTTAAGATGTAGAGTGAGACAGGACTATTTAAAAATAAAATAAAGCATTTTTTTTTTAAAATTATTTTTATATCTTGTCGCTATAATTTAAATATTTTTGGGTTAATTTTAATGTTGAGGAATTCGAAAAAAAAAAAATCAAGGTAGACATTTTGTAAACCTAATTTTTAGACAAATTTTGGATCAATAACTTTTACTGACATTCAATCAACTATTTTTAAACATTTTAAAATTTGTAAAATATTATAATAATACAAAAATGAATTATTGACATAAATGCAGTTTAGCTTCCAAATGAGTTTTTAGAATTTTTTTTCCAAAATGTGTGTTTTTGCATGCATAATTTGATGATACTTTCAAAAAATGTAACTCAAATTTCATTTGTAAATTATGGTCAAAAACTTAAAATTGCTTGATTTTTCTAAAAATTGGGTTTTGAGTTTGAATTTTTTTTTAGAAATTGTAATAATTATATGCTTAAGATTCTGGTGAAATCAAAATCTACCTATATATACTTACCCACCAAAACTTTTTGAAGTTATCACACACTGAATGAAAAAAGTCCAAAAAATCAATTTTGAGTTACTATAATATGCAAATGATTGAAATAACATTATAATTAGGTTTTACATGGATTATTAACAATAACATAAAAAGTAATAATGATAGGTGAATTCTGATTTCATCAAAATGTTAAGCATATAATTACTACTATTTATAAAAATAAAATTTCCGAAAATTTAAATCTTTAGTATTTTAAACACAAAAGCACGATTTTTAGATAAATCGAGCATTTTGAAGTTTTTTAACCATATTTTACATATGAAGTTTGAGTGATATTTTTTGACATTTCAAAATTAAGTTTGATCAACTTTTTTTGAAAGTACCATCAAATTAAACATGCAAAAACACACATTTAGGGAAAAAAATTTTCAAAAAAATTGCTTGGTAGCTAGCTAAACTGTATTCGTTCCAAATTGTCAATAAATTAATTTAATTTTGAAGAAACTATAAACATTTTTTTTAAAAATTATTGACATAACCTAATTAATAGTTTTAAAAATTAACTATCTTAAATTATTAAAAAAATTTAGTAAAAAAAATCTAAATTTATATTTTTAGTTGTGAAGTATTAAAATATATTATTATAAAACATAAAAATATTATAGTGCAGAGCTCTAGTATTTATTACAAAAAAAACCTTAAGAATATTCAATAGAAAAAAGTTATTAACTTTAGGTTAAATATTCTTGTAACAGCTGCTATATATTATGTGATTAATGATTTGATATAAAACAGTAAGTTAAATTAAATTTTTTTTTTCTGTTAGAAATTGTGTTCTATTAAATGCAATCAACATAATATTAATTTTTCCATCTGTATATTGGTGGTATTGGTTATGTCACTCATCCTATTTATTTTGAATTATCAAACATTTTAAAATAACATTATGTTGGTTAGCAAAACCCTGCAAGTTATAATTTATTTCTATAAAAAAATTTTCTACCAGAAATCTCGCTGCAATAAATAATTTTATAATTTCCTTGTGCCTTTTGATCTAGTTAATGAATTGAGGAATCATATTTTGGTTTTCCTAATAGATTTTTTTACAGCAGTTTTATAAAATTTGTTAATCAGGGCTCAAAACTGGTTCAACATTAAAAACTGATAAATTATGAACCAAAAACCGATTACTTACTGCTTTTATGTTTTAAAAGTAAGAAGCGGTAACCAGATGTTGGATGAAATTGATTACAATTAATTTATTAAATTACATTAGTTATCAATCATTTAATAATTTTTCAAAGTAATCAGTAGAGATATAAATTGTGACCCCCCCCCCTTTAATGAATAAACTGGTTTGGTTTAGTTGTCCCAATACTTAAAAAAACTAAAATGTCTCTACAAGTAGACTTACTCGGGATTTATTTACAGTGTTAGTACTTGGTAATGTTGCATTTAATTGTCCAGTTACTGATTCAATTCATTTAATTCAATGAAAAAAGTAGACTCACTCATAAACTACACAACCCTAGTAATCAGTAATCATGATACTCATGCAAAGTAATTATTGTATCATGAATTTCGAAAAATATATCGTAAAACCACAATACCACATACCATGTTAAATGTTAACTATCATTAGTACCCTAGGGAAATCAGAAAAACAGAAAACAAGTCTCCTGTAAAAAATTGCTAAATAAAAAAAACCAAATGGATAAATCACTCATTGTATAATTTTAAATAATTAATAAACATTTCTATTGGATGATATTTTGATATTTCTTGTATACCTATAGTGTAGGTTAGGTTAGGTTAGGTTAGGTACCCATGAAATGTGATTTTGCCATTTCCTCTATTGGATTTAGGAACTTCCATGGTTCACTAGAAAACTCGTACAACTCAAAACACGAACTCGATACATATAATTGATAAGTACCTGCTATATTAAACTATATAACCTATATTGTGTGTCAATTGTCATCTATTTTAGATAAGATTAGAAAAACCAATTATTTATATAAATCAAATTACTATTATTGTTATTATTATTTTAACAAATACAGTAGAAAATACAGTTTCATTAAATTTAGGTAGGTACCTACAATATAATATTTTCATATCTTTCTTTATAAAAATCAGAACACAGCAACGCGTGACTGGGATAGCTAGAATATTATTTTTTTCAGTGACTTTTTTTTATCCCCAACTTTTTTTCCTAATATCAGAGTAGTCATCAAGTTTAGTACCCAAATTTTAAATCCATCTAAAATTTGGCACCCCAAACAGCATACACATACCTAATTCTACATATGAACTGTAATAATTAAGAAGAATAATGATGCAAAAGTATAATGTAACACACTCCTTCTACACTCCTAAAAATCTAGTTGGAAATCTTCTCATTAACATTAAAATTGCATAAACGGAAGTGTCTAGTACCTAAGCAAATAATTCAGATTATTTATTTTGCAAGGAACCAATAAATATTACAATATGATTTGTTAGTATGGGGTGGAATAAATGATGGTATTTAAGAAAATTACTAACACATCAAAATAATATAATACGAATTTGTTTAAATAAATGCTCTTAACAAGGATCTACAATAAGAAAATTATAGGTAGTTTGGTGTTCTCTCAATCAAATTTCTCTATAAAAAAAATTATCATTATGTTTATTTTTAAAAAGTTCATCAAAGGTAATGATTGCAGATTTATTGAAAGTAAAAGGGAAAATAGACTATAAAATATTTCTGTGAAATTTCCTAGCTAATCTTTTGGTCAATCTTTTGTAAACTACTTAGAACTTGTGCACTTTAACCAGAAATCCAACTCTATACCATGTATATATAAAAAAATGTTCATTGTTACAAAAGTAATGTTAGAAAATGTATTTATCATTGGTTGTTTTCAGAATTAGTCCTTGTGTATGTTATATATTTTTATTTCAGTCTTAATAATGTTTTAATCTTATTCAATAAATATTTATTATTATAATGTACCTAAAACTCTCTATCTCTAACTAACGCTATTAGCTTAAAAAAAGATAAATAATTATGTGAATAATTTAGCCCTTTTTTTTGTGTACATTTTTGATAAATTTAAATAAAAAAAAAAAATGAGCACCCTAATATTATTAATTTAATCAATTAAAATAATTTTTTATTGTAATGATCAATTAATTTTATGAATTTGTATTATGATTAACAACTACAAATTTGAATTGTCATCTTTAATTATTAATTTATTTAATATATACACCAATGACCAACCCATCACAAAAGAAACAAGGTACTTTATATACGCAGACCACATGGCCGTAGCAGCACAGGACACAACATTCCAAAAAGTCAAACGTAAGATTTCAAAAACTCTTTAAGAATTATCAACGTATTATACGAGAAACCAATTAACACCAAATCCAGATAAGACACAAATATGCTGCTTTCACTTCCGAAATCATGAGACAAAAAGGGTACTCAAAGTTGAGTGGCTTGGAAAACCACTGAAAAACACAGAAAAACCAGTTTATCTAGGGGTTACATTAGACAGAACCCTCACGTTTAAAGAGCAGTGTAGAAAAACAAAAATTGGAAGTCCGAACAAGGAATAATTTATTACGAAAACTAACAGATAGTAAATGGGATACCACACCAAACACAACATTTTTTTTTGTCCCCTTCATTGAATAATAAAATTGAAAAATATATAATTCAATTCAAAATTCTTCTCAACAATTTTTTTTTCATTATCTTCTTTTGTCAATTGAGCTTTGATTATGTGGCAGCATAATGCAGGTTGTTTTAATAATGCCTACTACTTCCTCTGCTTAATTTTAAAAGTAGAATATCTCTTCAAGGAGTCAATGAAAATCAAAAATGTCAATACCAAAATTAATTTAAAATTAATTTATTACGGAATTTTTTTTATATAGATTGCTATTTGAAAATTAAAAGTAAGTAATCAATTCATCTCCAAAAATAGGGGTAATACATATAATAGTTTTGTAATAATGTTCAAAAAAAAAAATAAAAATCTGAAAAAAGTTAATACTTTCAGAGGTAATCCACATAAATGAAACTCTGTATAATTTCAATTTATAAAACTCTACATGGGCTATATATGGACTATATATATATATATGGCTATTTACATATGGCTCTGTTGTATCAATATCTTTCGTAGCACTTTTAAGCCTAAGTTTTGCTGGGTAGCCTACAATTAGTTGAATGTCAAAAACAAATTTCATTAGAGATAATGTACGTTTATGAAAATATTATTCAGCCTGTTAATAATAATGCTTAGAGACAAAATATTATTTAAAAAAAAAAATCATCTAGATATGTAAACAGGGTAGTTAAATCCAAAGTTAAATCAAGGGTTAAATCAGTTAAATAGATAAACTGCACCCTGTTTCTCATTACCTTTTATGCCTAATATAAATAATAAAACCATAAAATAAATAATATTAAGTATTGTTTTATTTTTACAATTTGATTGTCATTGAACAAAATTTTTATTCAATTTTTTTGTTTTACTATTATATAATCTATAGCTACCTCATTAAGTACAATAAGTAAATGAGATACAATAGAGAATTATATACAGAATGACTTGGACATAAGGATACCCAAAACAAAAAACCAAGTACATAGTAAATGTGTTCAGTTTTAAGAAAGCAAACTTAATTATAGCATATTATTATAATTAAATAACAGAATATAAATAATAATAACTTGAAAAAATAATGGAAATTTGTCATAAGTATCATGGTAATCATCCAAAGGTATCTAATCAATATAAAAAAATAAAATAAAATTTACAAATAGGTAGGTAGGTAATAAGTAGATAATAATTTGTATTATTAATTATTGTAACGCAGTTTTTTTTTTTTTTTTGGAATTTTGTATATCATGAAACGTTCAGTTTTTGTAGTGTACCTAGGTACTATTTTAATTTAAACCATAGTGATAATCAATAAATAATCAATTAGTAGATTCCCTGTCATTTTAAGATTTGTTTGAGACGCAGTGTACGTAGTAATCATATTATTATCACTACTACACAACTTCTATCGACGAAACGCAACAATACAAGAGCTACTTGACATTTACATTATATTACGGATGCCTAATTATGACTAGCTCAATATTATGTATTAACGAATTTTAACTTTTAAATATTTGTAAAATATGGAACCTTAGTTCTATTATTATAGACTACAGTGAAATAGAAGTAGCAGCGATTTTTCATAGGCGATTTCAAAATAGCAGTAATCATAATACCAAGCAACAGTTACTGCTATTTTCACCGCTACTTTTTTAATAGCAGTAAAAACTACACAATCTAATCTTTATCCATGAAGTGCTGACCAATGTGACAAAAAAACACCCATTCAATCAAAATTTCAAAAAGTAGATACTAACCTAGGTGTAGCGATAAACTATCAACAAGGACAAGAAAATGTACTTATTAATAGTATGAAACTATAATAAATTTAAGATTAGGAACAATGAAAATAGGACATAAGTAACAATTTAAATATATTATATATTTTGAAGGTACCAAATATTAAAAAATTAAATATTAGGAACAAAAAAGTATACTAGTAACCTAAAACTGGCTAGGGGAGCTTGTCACAAATGATCAACAATAGGTAATAACAATAAACGCAATAATAACAATAATAATTAGTAATTACCTTCATTGAACACACGGTTTTCATCGTCATTATCGACTTCTATTTCGGACTGGTCGCTCATTGCAACAATAGTTCACGGATAGATGAGTACAAAACAAATAAAAAAACGTGAGTAAATAATCAAACGCAATAATGCAAACGGTAATTAAATACGACGTAGGCAGAAGTGATCGAAATACTTGAATGCTCGGTAAGCTAATGAAATCTCAAACCACGAATAATACATGGTAGACAAAAAAAAACTGAAGACTCAAATGCGACGCGACCGAAAAAAATGGCTACCGTAAACAGTACACACACGCTAAACGACCAGCCCGCTGGAGTCAAACAATAACCAATGGTACCACCACCAAAAATGTTGTTGTTGGGCACCGCCTACTATTTGTTGAGGTTAGTTTGACCACCAAGGTCAACATTTAAAATAAAAATAACAAATAATTATTACGATTTAAATTAAAGCACGGGAAACGTACGACACAATTTGAGTGTTTAAAAACTAAATAATATAATAATTATTATAATGACATGTTTCGCCCAATACAATATTAAATTGGTAATTTTGATGTTAACCTGAAATATTGTGTAGGGCGCGACGACGCAACCTAGCGCACCCGAGAGCAACCAAACGCACCTGAGCGCAACCAAACGCACCTGAACGCAACGCTCGCGTATTCCGATTACCGACGCGTCCCACGGCGACGAACAAATACGCAGCGAATACCTTATTCCCTATAAACTTTTGTCGCCGCCATCTTCCCGGTCTTTTGGTTCTCGTTTCATCAACCCCACACCCCACCTTTATGCTCGCTGCACCGTTTCACGATGGTGTTGCAGCCAAGGTAGTTGGTATTATACAAATTTTGGTGGATATTTCTGTAGTATTTAATTGTTTTATTTACTTTTTTGTTAACTTTGTAAATGGAACTCCTACGTTATCTTTTGACAAACCGTTAATGATAATATACTGTATGGCAGTTCGCACAATTGGTAATAAAGCTTCTTGGTTTGTTATTGTTTTTAGTTATTATGTTGTGTGCGTATCTATCGACATTGGCGTAACGAAGTCAAATTTTTTTCTGAGCCTAGAGTTTTATTCTACGTACCTACCGACGAACCCGTGACATCCATTTGCTATACAATTACTCCACATGAAGATTTAACACTGTATTTTAACACTTTTTTAAAAATTACCATATAACTTAGCATAATATATGTAAATCTCCTATAAAAGTCAAAGGCGGCCGCTTCTCTATTACCCTCTTTGCCACGTCATTGTACACCTTTTTTTTTTTTCGTCAATTAGGAAAAAAACGTTTTTCATGATTGCGATCCGTAAACGCACAAGTTAGGTTTTTTCGAAATTTATATGTTAATATACGAATTTGGCCTGCAGTATAGTGACTTGTCTATTAAGCACGTAATATTTCATTTTATTGGTGCATAATAAGCCTCTATCACCTCGTTGTGTTGGATAATTAATCACAATATTAGTATTGTACCTGTGAATGTTTTGAATTTCACTCAGCCATTCTTGTTAAACAATGATCTGTGGGTAAGTAAATTAAATTATTTGTAACAAATAATCTAAAATAAAAAACACATTACAATAATCAAAGTTTCTCCATTAATAAGACCAATGCGAACAAAATTGTATTCGGTAGATACATCTAGTAATTTTGCCTTGTTCGTTGTTTCTCACAAAATTATACATCATTTGAACGTAGAAATGCTATACTTAATATATCACAAAACTGTATTTTAAACCTCAGAAATAGGACATATTTATGTTTTACGCACAGTGTCTAGCATCACTTTTTATTTACTACTTAGACACTATTATTATTAGTTCTCAATAATAATTATGGTAGTACAATGTTTAGTTTACACATAGCATAATATAACAGTTATAATCTTGTATTCAAATCTTGTAATCTTGTATTCAAAACTATTTTACAAAAATATTATGTTTCTGTGTGTTTCTGTGTGTGCGACTGTTAATTTTAAATTTTTTATCTAGTTACCTATTGAAAAACTACTATTACTTGATGAAAGTAAATTTCTATGTGACACTGGTACATAGTAAAATGGATAAAAAATTTCATCCACCATCTATGATGAGAAGAGATAATCCTAATGCTATTGAATATAAATATAAAATATCTATCTAATATAAAAAAAATTTGGTGCTTAGAAGCCATACAATTTAAGTTTGCTATTCAATTGCATAATAAAGAGTGTAAGGATTATTCTGAAACCATTATTCAATATTACCAGAGAGATCCTGAAGATCATATATCATTAGTAGGTGCTTTATTGGATTAATCAAATAAAAAAAAAATCTGGGAAAGTTCAACCAACATTAGTTTTAAGTAATTTTTATATTTTTATTGTCATTGATTTATATTTAAATTTTTTTTTTTTTTGTTTTCTAGTAATGAAGATCATGGTACAAAATAGTAGTCAAAAAGAGGATAAAAGCAATTTAAAATAAAATTTGAAAAATTAGAAAACCAACCTCCAATAAAAATAAATCCAGTGCATGATTGAACCAAAACTTTTTTGTTTTTAAATAACCTATGATTTTATCATTCTTTATTTTTACTGGAAAATATAATTAGTATAATTAAATATACTGTACTAAATTGTAAAATGATAATAGAATGAGTTGCATTTTAATCTAGTTGGTAATTATGAAAAATGTTTTTTGAGTATTTTTGATAATGCAAATTTTATATCATTATGTTTGTTGTAGTTTATAGTGATGCTATCATCTACCTATCATCACTCTAGAGTGCACTCTGTACATGCCTATTTTCATCTTAATGTTCGCAAGTTTAAAACCGTGTTCTGAAAGAATTTATTTACATTTGTTTTTTCTTTTTACTTAAAGGAAAAAACAAAGGCATTTTTAGTGTACCTAGAAACCTATGTTTTATTATTTTTAGATTCTGAATGTTTTTTTTAATACTTTCTACAAAAATTCTACCAGAAATCTTGCTCAGATATATACGTGCGGCACCATTTTTGAAAGGGAATATTGTCCAGGTGGTACTTTTATGAGGTCATTTTTTTGATTTTCCAAGCGGTTTTCCTAATATCTGGGAAAAACTTAAGAAAAACTACAAATTTACGAAAATAATACTTTTATTATTTTTAAATTTTGTTATTTGTTATAATTTAGTTAAAAATATTAGTAGATACTTGAAATTTGGAAACAAAACTTATATTTGTCTTTTATAGACGTGGTCAAATTTTCAATAAACGTATACAATTTTTATTTAGTAGGTATTCTGTGGTAAAATTGTTAAACTTAACAATAATGCTTAAAAATTAAACAGAAGGTTCCTTAAAAATCTTATTTTGTGGTCAAATTGAAAAAAAAATTGAAGATCATTGATCTAGAAGACTATTATATAAGACTGTGATTATAGATAATATTATAAAATAAATATATTATGTAATAAATAACAAAATAATATTGTTGTCTATTGATTCATTATTCATGTGTGTTCCAGCAGTTCACATTTTCAAAACCATTAACAAAAATAATGAAGATGAGATGTTTAAGTTATTTTAATAATCTAAAAACTTTAGAATTAAGAAAGTTAATCAGGATAATTATACATACTTCAGATAAATTTGATCTATCCAAGTCTTATTTACCAACATTTTATATTTTCTTATATTTTTCAAATGGGGTTAAAACATGTTGGCCCTCTTATGGAAAAATTTCTAGCCTGGTGCCTAGGTTGATTATATACTTAAAAAGGTAAGTGGACGTTTAGTCCTATCAAAAAATCCAGTTTACGGGTGTTTCGTCCCCAGCAATTTTTAAGATAGGATAATTGTTTGGTCCCCGAGAGTTATTAGTCGTAGGACGTTTGGTTCCCATTGTATTTTGATCATAGTATACTGGTTCTATACTTTTAGGAAATTTGTTACAGGAAATTGATATCAGTAATGATTATTTTATTATTGATATTAGTATTGTAAGACTTATAAACATTAATAGGTACATACTTATTATTAATTAGTTACGATAACAATAATACCCTAAAATTTAATAACAAATAATTAATCAAAATAATATTCAATAAAACTTAAATGGTGTACTGTCATGTGTTATAAATAATTTAAAATATTGTCATCATTATTTTATTTAAATCCTGTACAATATAAATATTTTTTCTTTTCTTTAATACTATTTATTTTTTTGTATCAGCAGTCTCTGTAAATGCATTGTATATCTGCAAAGATTCAATAAATATATAGGTATATATATATTAAGATGTCTTATTCTTATAATACCTTTTAATTTATTGGTGAACCCTTCTAACACATTGTCCATGTTTATTATCCATTATCCATGTCCATGGTCCAATTGAACCCTCTTTTGTGGTATTGTACATATTCTCATGAAAATATTATATAAATAATATATAAAGCAAGTTGTACCGTATTCTGTTAGTATTGATTTGTATAATTTGTATGTTGGCGTAGGTTGAATCAAAATACTTCAATATTTTTAAAAGAATTAAATAGAAATGGTATTCCTAAAAAAATTTAAATCATAATATATAGGCTTTAAAAATGAATTTTAAATTACCTTTTTTTTACCATATTCGTTGGAAGAAATGGGAAGGTAGGAATCTTTTTACAACTGATCCGAATTTTTTGTCTTCTTTATATCTAACAGCTAAACCCAACTTTTGAACTTTTCGTTAGACAGATTGGTTTAAATGATAAAAACATAACTGCACTCATACGACATTATTAAATACTTATTCAATTGCTAGTATCGCAGAATGTTCGAAGTTGATTGAAATTATTGAAAGCGATTCAATATAAGTTTCTTTATTTTTACGCCGAAGCGAAGCATACATCATGGGAATAGTAGTATTATCTATACTTGCATGTAATATATAAACTTGATAAAACTCTGAAGGACAAGTAGAAAATGTTCCGTCCATATCATTAATTTTGGTTTAAGGTAATAAGTCAAGACATGTTTATGAAAAGAAAATGATAATACGGTTTTCATTATTTTTATTATGATAAAATAAAAATCGGTCTGAATTTTGTTCACCAATAATCCTCTAATATGTTCCTTCCAGTAAAATATTATCTATTTTGAAAATTTTTGGATAAATATTACTACACATACGTCGTAAACACCTTTTCATTGAACTTTCGTTTGGAATAAATGTTTTATTGTAATCTGATTAATTTATCACATTTCGTGAAAAAAATTTGAGATGGTAAATTATAGTTTCTCTTAGCTGCCTTCTTTATACTACATTTAGCTCTCTGCATTTATTAAATTTGCATTGCTTTCTTGATTGTGAACTCCAAATTTCATAATCTACGTGATTTTTTTGTCCGTTGTAAGTGTTCCATTACACAAGCTTTAGTAAACACACACACACCCCGAATTCCTGATTGTACTTTTTTTTGTTCGTAATTCAAAATATTACTTATTAATTCTTTTCTATTCCGTGTTGTAACTAAACACTTCATACTGGAACTTAGGTACGTACTATAACACGTACAAAATATTACTGTGTATAGTGTGTGGAAATAGTAGTAAGAATAATTTTCTTGAATCGATTTATCTGAATAATTTGATATACCTACTATCTGTTTGAAAACCCTGGTATTTAATATATCAATATAAATTTAGAATCACATACATGACTTATTGTATATCTAGTACAATCATATCAAATACATATGTATTACTTATCATTACTATAACATTCTATAACCACAGAATAGATACCAAACGTACTTGGTATACATTTTCGTTTGAGTGTTACTGACGTAATAATACGTTTTATATTTTAATAGTAAATCTATATACGAAATACAAATTTTATGTTTTTAGATTTGGAACTTATTAACGTTGTCATTATTAAGTACAATATTATGGGACGTATATCGTATAAAATACGATGATATTTTATCAAAATAATAAAACTGTCGAAAAATAAATAATTCTAAACATATTTACATCGGACCGTATTTCAAAAGAACAATATTTGTACTGAATATTAGATACGAAAATATTTTGTTAGAACCGTATTTTGGTTTGGTTAATTACTCTATTACTCTATGGAAAATACTTATAAAGGTAACAACACTGTTATCTCATATCAATTGTTAACCATTGAACACTGGTTTCTCTATTACGGAGTAATATATTATATATAAATATATATATATATATATAGATATATCAGGTCTATAGCCCTCATTAGCTCAATGTTAATTGTAATTAATATTATTAATTACATAAATTAGTCAATGGCATCAATCTATCTTTATTGGTATTATCTACCTACAATTTTACTGTGGCTTGCCTTTTCAACAGCGCGATCTAATTATATTTACTAATTAGTAACTAAGTATTAACTAATTTTCTTTCTAAATAAGATTCTAATAAGTTAGTTTTTCGACAGATTAATTTTCGTATACAATATTTTCGGACAAAAAACTTTTCCAATAAAATATTTGTCTAGTATTTTATTTATGTCCGTTATATTTTCGTATAAATTATTTTTCGACTAAAATACTTTTCTAGTCAAATATTTTTTTACTCAATTAATTTTCGTAAATATATTTTCCACCAAATTATTTTCGAACAAAATATAGGTCACCCAATATTCGTATAATTGATAACAATCATTGGTATCATTGATATTGTATATTTTGGAAAATGCACGACACGAACACACAAGATTATAAAAACACACCAAACCACACGACACGGTGTAGTCTAAACCAGCTTTAATACTATAAACAAAATACTACGAGGATCAAACGTCCTATGGATAATAACTCCCGATGATCAAATGTCCCATCTTAAAAATTTCCGGGGACGAAACGTTCATAAACTCAATTTTTCGACGGGGACGAAACAGAATAGAATCACTTAAAACAGATTAAAAGTATTGAATAAATAATTTATAATTGTGTTCTAATAATATTAATTCATTAATTATGGTTATTTATGTTTCAAACTATTTGCTAAATATAATTTTTTTTTTTTTTATGTAGATAATTACATAATCTATACAATTCATACAAGTACAATAAGCATAAGGGATGTTTTAGGTATGGTGTAACGGCTTGATTGACGTGTGGAAAGAACCAACCAGCAAAGGCACTTCGGCGTGAATTTACAAATTATTTAAAGTATTAATTGTGTGTTTAGTTTATTAGATCTCGGGGCCATTGTCGTTTAAATCTTCTTGGGGAAGGTTTCCAGGGATGGAGATGAAAGGAGATTTTTAAGAAAGGGGTTGGTATGATTTTTCAGGCGATTTATGAATTTGGTGTAGTATAGTTTGGCTGTTTCAGTGACTAGGAATGTGAAGATCTGTGTGAAGGGTGTTTGAGATATATGAAGGAGCGTTAGTTATAAGTCTTAGGATTTTTGATTAGAACACTTTTATTTTTTGTGTATTTGATTTTTTGGCAGTACCCCAGAGCTATATACTGTACAACCAAATGGATTTAAGAAAAAGATTATAGATATGAATTTTGGTTTTGAGAGATAGTTTAGAGAACTTACTGAGTATGAGTTTGAGAAGGTAAAGATGTTTGTTTAATTTTAATTTTGTTATGTGGATGTGCTTGGCACATGTTAGACATGTTAGACATGTTCAACATGTTTGTTGAAAACTAGACCTAGATATTTACCTGTGTCTAAGTTTGGTATGGGTTTGTTGTTTATGTACATTGGTGGGGGGGTTGATTGAGATAGAGAGCAAAGGTATTATGGACAGATTTGCTTTCTTAATTTTGATGCGCAGTGTAAGTACCAGAGTGATTGGACATTGAGGTGGCTTTGGAGAGAAAATGAAACTACATCAGGATTAGTGTGGGAGGAGTATATTACTTTATCATTGGCATATTCAGCTATTTGAGTATTCAGGTTGATGGGTTGATCAACAGAGTATAGGGTGAATAGTGTTGGAGATGAAACTGCGCCTTGGAGAACACCGGGGCTAGTATTGGGGATATACTAGAGTGTTCTGTTCCTTATCTAACAGAGAAATGGCGTTCACTTAGAAATGACTTACAGAAAAGGTAGTATGAAGAAGGGTAGAGATGATTTTAATTTGAAAAAAAAGCCCGGGTACCAAACTTTATCAAATTCCTGCGTGATATCAAGAAATATTGCCGAGATATAAAGCTTTTTTTCCAAGGAGCAGGAAATGGTATCAACTAGATGGTGCATTTGGTGAGTAGTTGAGTGATGTTCTCTAAATCCAAATTGAGTGACGGGAATTAATTTCTTTTCTTTGATGATTGGATAGATTCTATTTAATATTAATTTTTCAAAGAGTTTTGAGAAGAAGGGTAGTAAGCTAATAGGTCTGTATGAGGAGGGGCTATCTATAGGTTTGTTTGGTTTAGGGAAGAGAATAATTGTGGCGAATTTCCAACTAAATATAATTAATTAATTTTAGGACTACAGGAAAATACACGATAAGGATTTTAGGAATTGAAAGCCTTGTTGAATAATAATATTTTAAATGTACCAGTTGAAAACTTAAAATTGTATTAATTACTAAAATATTTTAATAAACTTGATTAACAGATAATTTGATAATGTATACAAATACATGTAATTCACAGATATAGATAATAAATATTATTATCAATAGACTATGATTTTATCTATATCTTTGATATAATTATAATTAATTCCTTACAATTTTTTTTTGTATACATTTCTGATAAAGATCCAATATTTTTAAGAGGTTTGGGCTGTATTTAAAAAAATTAAAATTAATACTAATATAACAATTTGTATAGGTTTATTTTCTGATTTAGTCTCAGTAACTGATTTAAACTGTACAAATAATGTAGGTACTCAAAATATACTATAGGAAATCTTATGTCCAATTTACAATATTCCAAACCCAAGTCTATGGTCAATTTTAGGTAAACTTTGGTCCAGGTTGATTTCAATAACCAATTAACTGTTTTTATTCAGTATAAAGAACTAAACTTGTTTCATAAACAACTTTTTTATTTCAAAAATTTGTGTATGGAACTTATTCCATACATAAATGGTGTAATTAATGATTACCAGTTAGCTGTTAATAGGATAGAAATAAGGCAACCAAGATCATTGGTTTAAAATAAAAGAGATAAATGATTAACATAAGGAATAGATAGTATTAATATTTAATTAAATACTGTTTGGATCCTAACAAGTCATTGATTTATAGGTTAGTTACTTTTTAAAGAATTTGTTCTTAAAAGCCACTTTTCTTTAATATGTCACGTTTTTACTAAGTATCAAAAGCAACTTCTCACCCAAAATTTTTTTTTTTTTTTCTTAAACTTAATAATTTTAGAATGTGAATATAAATAAAATATTTAAAATGTTTAAAATAAATAAACATACACATACTATAGGTATGTAATACAATAATGGACTGCATTGATAGACATACATTAAATAAGTACATATAGTAATATGCACTGCATACTAGTAAAATATAAATAATATGTCTGAGAAAAATTATTACATACCTACTTAATATTCAAGTTATATTAACTTTTTTTAAATATAGGGCTATTATAATTACTCAGATTTTATTATGCTTGTATATAAATGTATACATAAATTCATTCTGCATTTACATAACTCAATTTTTTGTTTGATTTTTCGGCTTTTTTATGTAAACTCTTTTTATTGCTTTTTTACAAATATTCCAGTTGAAGCATTTTAATATATTTAAAGTAAATAAATATATAAATAAAAAATGTATGTATAAAAGTAAAATAAATAAATGAATTAATGCATCACTTGGAGTATTATTATAAGTGTATTATAGGACTTTTTTTGAAGTAAAAATTCATCATCTAGTATTTCACAGTCAAAATGTAACACATTTATGAATTTATTTACGAGTCATAAACATTTTAATAATTTTGTTTTACTTTATTATTTTATTATTTAATATATTTATTGAACTATAATAAAACAATTTAAATTTAATTAATAAGAAATGAAAAAAAGTTAGGTTCATAAAATATGACAATTGACAGTAGGTACTGCATACAGCTCTTAATCTATGTCTGTCAAAATACAGACTATGGTTAATAGCAAGATGGATTAATAAGGAGTAATAAGGAGTAATCACTTTCACCCTCCCATTAAGATAAATTAATTGAAAACATTAGTCCAGTTAAAATTTCCATCAGGTTTGCTGATTATCTGAACCTGATACAGGACCTAATTATATACAGGATCTATATGTTATTATTTGTATATATTTTAATAGTAATATGATTAAAATCATGGAAGTTTTTTATAATTTTTTTTGTAAAAATGCATTTAAAATGATATACTTATAAAAATAAATTTTACTATATTTATTATTACATATAAATACATAATATTATTATGAAATTATTATATAATATAGGTATATATATACCTGTGTATTATATAATATGATAGGTATAATAATACCAGATAAGATATTAATGATTATTATTAGGAGGTAAGTACATGTAATTAGTTTTTATAATAGGCAATAATAATACTTTTGTTAGTAATATAATTATATTATTAAAATATATTTTATCATAGTTTAAAATTTTTTTTAAATGTTTTTAATTTTTTTTTTTTTGGTCTGACACTTGGTTATTGTATTTTTTACAAGAAAAAATAATTTTGGTATTTAAACAAAATTGTATAATACACTTTGTAAGTTCATAGTCATGATCCATACAGCCAAATTTAGATGCAATGACTTGAAAAATTACTCTATCCATACTACACATTAAAAATTAAAAAAAAAAAAAAATACATATTTATGATAGGTATAAGTAAAAACTTCATTACTAAAAATGATTAAGTATTAACCATATTTTAAAATATTATTTTTATTTATTGTATTGTTATTTAGAACATTGATTATGGCTGTTTCCAAGCTATAAACAAACTTCATTAGTGTATCTATTGGTATAAACTAGTTTCTTTTACTTCTGAGGTTAACAAATCACTGTACAAAACAAGCTATACAGTTTTTTGGATATGAATTTTTTTTACATTGTTTGCAACATAGCCAACTTAAAAAGTTAAAAGCACTTGAATTAATACTCAATTTATCAATGTTTTCACAGTATAAATGATCACTTAATACTTCTTAGTCCCCATTTTCTAATATGAAGTCTTATTTTAATACTAGATCTGCTTTTTTCTAGATATCTTCATCATTTTGTATTTGAATATTAAGAACTATCATGCTTAGATTGAGCTAAGCATGCTTTAGAACACATTTTAATTGCATTTTGTTGTTTTTGGGATATTATTTTAATCATATTGTTAACTGTCTCTTTTAATTTTGGAAATTCAATTTTTAAACTTAGAATACTGGATTTCATTATTTTTACCTATTAAATATTATACATATATGTATATTTATAATTACATCTCCAATTAAAAAACCTAATTATTAGTTTATTGTTCAACATTTTAATTTTATTAAAATATTTACATGCTTGTTGAGGTCTTCTATAAGTTAATTTCATTGTTGAATGTTTTGTTAAAATAATGTCTTTTTTTTTTTATTGACATTATTTTTGTGATAAGAACGATATCTACAATAGAGTTTCTTCTCTTCAATTTGAAAAAGACATTTAGATCAAAGAACTGAATTTTTGAATGTATCCTGGGCATTTATTTATTTTTTTAATATTTATCAATAACTTCTCTACATCACTATGAAGCATTTTAAAAATATTGTTTATTTTTATCTTTGCCTCGTATAAACATGAGAATAATAATGTGATTAATAAATTTGTTTTAATGATTCTTAAAATATATGTTTATTTTACTTTTGCTGTTTTATTAGAAATAAACGTAACATATTTATCATTTAAAAGATCTTCAAAATGTGTAAAAATTAATTGTTGCATACCATCACTATGAAAACTCCACATTGGTCCTGGCAATTGAACATTTTTAGCACTCTGGTAATTGGTAAATATTGTACTCTATAATTTCAGGTATACTTAATGTGTATTTATTTTCCTGGACATTTCATCATTTAACATCGGTGTAATAATTGTTTCATTTAAAGTCTGTTAATAAAATTAATAATCACCCTAATTCATCAACCACAAAAAAAAATTATTTTGTAGTATGTTAATCTTATAGTAGAATTATTAGTCTTTTTTTTAAAGTTAGTTGCGTATGCTGTTGAATTTGGAAATATACATGAAATTGTATTTGGTTGTAAAATTGGTTTAAAAAGAGGAAACCTAATATCATTCCCTTTTTCATCTTCAATTTTTCTATTATATGGCTATTACATGACTATTATTATTATTATTAAGAAAATGAAATTCGCATAGGAGATCACTTATTTTTCAGATCACTTATTTTTCAGATCACTATCAGCTCTTGGAATTTTTTATTCCAAACATCAATCATATTCTATAGTTTTAGCCATTTACAAGCATTCAATATTGTCACTATAGAAATAAAATTGTGAAAATTGTATATCTACTTTGCAAACAATTAGTATTCATGTTATTATATGTATATAATACAGTGGGACCTCTATTTAATCAGAGTTGGGCATTCGTCAAATAAGGATAGACTGCGTATTGGGAAATAATCATAACATTATACAATATTTTTATTATTATTTATTTTATTGACTTGAAAATCATAACAATTATTACACTATTTTAGAAAGATCGTATCCAATTAGTGCATAAAAGACAACTTTTAAAACTTATAATTTAAAACCTATCCGAATTGAGGGTTTGAAATAATTGTCGTTTTTATTTATTTTGTTTAGTTATCAGTACCCATTTTGAATTTCACGATAAATAGTAAATTTATATCCGTAAATCGGTGCTGGATCTAGGAGGGGCAAACCGAGGCTAACGATCCAGGGGCTAATAATAGAGGGGCGGCAATTTCAAATGATATTAAATAGAAAATAATTTGCCTTCTCGTTAAAAATTACTGCTGGTTGCTTTTTTATTACAACAAACTGAATCTTCCATCGTCTGATTAATATACAAGTATTTACAAATAATAAAATAGCGGCCCAAGCCATGATCGCTGGACTTCAACCGTTATAATATTACATTATTCTCGTCATTATAAGTACCTAGTCTCGTTAAACATATCCGAAAACTCGACCGCAGACACTGGTTGTATCTATTCCTTCTCCAAGACACTACGAGGTTTCCACCTTTTTAAATTTAATTTGTCCTATATTGCTAAATCCATTTGATAATGGATCGTGTGAAAAAATAATATTAGTATAGAGATAATTCGTTTTGTTTTGTTGATAACAAATCCCATAGTATCTTTATCTTTATCTACAGGAATATATGTAGGTACCTAATTGCGTAGTTATGAAAAAAACGGATGTTTTGTAGTTATGTTTCGGACTTTTAGAAATGTAAACGCCATCTACCGGATGTTGTTTGATTTACATTTGTTAGTACGTTGTTCGTTAGAGTACGCCACATTTTCCACTACAAAATCAAATAAATAATACTTAGTAATTCGTATCATATTATACCTAATTATTGGTCGTAGCCACGGATATAGATACAAATATTTATATCCGTTAGTATAATATTATATACATATACATAATATTAGTATTACTATAAAGTTATTTGGTAAAAATTGGATTAAAAAATGACCTCATAACCTGGGCTGTGAATTGGAAGTTTTGTTCAAGAGCAAGCCTAATTATACCAAAAAAAATAAGTACATTTTCATGGTGAATCAAATTAACGTATATGTTTAAAAAAATTATAATTAAAACATCTTGGGTAATTTTTTGGATTTTGATACCAACGATTGTTATAATAATGTCATAAAATAATGCTGGTGGTATTATTAATATTATGTGTTTATTGATTGTAAGTATTTAGGTACAATTTGAACGGCTTTGCTACTTATTAATGTATGCTAAGGGGATCGGTGGTGGTGTACATTTAAGGAGTTCGGTATAGGCAATATTTAAAGTGCGTGCGTGAGTCATTTGTGACTGCGCGAGTAGTAAATAATTATTGGTATGTGCACGGGTCTCTGTCCTACACCGGGAACTACCCACTCTACATCTTATCTGCTAATTGACAAATAACTATAACAACATTGTATAGTGATACACGGTAATAATAAATACGTAAATACCCGCATACGCCGTCTTCTGCGTTCTGTATTGTCATAGAACATATTATTATTGTTCGACGTCTATTCTGCACACGTATTTTTAGCTTTACTGTTTATTTTCAGTTTATATTTGTCACAAGCAATTTATACTTCGAATCAAGTATGTTGTGATTAATATTCGATGTCGACGGAGATAATATATTGTAACCCGTTTCTACATCATCGGTGTTTTATTCTAAATAACGATAAAAAAAAAAAAAATCGTATCAGCAGCCCAAAACGCGTAGTAAATGTACAAAAAAATAAAATATATTGCAAACAATTCGATACCACTTTGTTCTACGCACTCGTTGTTTTGACCTTTAATTGGAATAGTCGAACTATCGGGTTTATCCCGCGAAATAATTAAACAGTTAATACGATCGTTCTATCGTCGAACTGGCCGAACCCGCCGATAAGCCCGACGTAGGACGTCGCGTTAACCCCCCGGGACCGAACTCCGTCCCGATTGTGCAGACGTGGCGCGGGTTATCCCACGCGTACGCGTTTCGATCGTTTGCGCCGTGGAAAAACGGGCGCAAACGAGTCGCACCCCGTTCGGATACTGTACGCTTGCGCGGGGCACAAAACGGAAACCGGATTAGCGTCCGGTCCCGCGCCGAGTTTTCCGGTAGTTTACGGACAGCGGGCGTGCACACCGTCGACTGTGCACCGCGATTTTAATGGGAACGCGCTCGGGACGACAGTCGAATCCGATTCGGGTAACGCCGGAACGGCCGTTGTTATTTGTTACGCGCGCGGGCGTGCGCGTTGTGTCTGACGGGCACACGAAGAACAAAAGACACAGGAAAAAAAAACAAAACGCTTTTAACAGATCATCGGTTTTTAATTAGAATTTACGTACATTGAAATAGTTTCGCTTCTAAGCGTGATATTATAATTACAATATTTTTTTTTTTTTTTGTAAATTTACGCGCAAAACGTAAAACGTAATGCGCGTTGTACAGCGGTAAACATGCGATCGAAAATCTAAGTTTACAATATAATATTGTATTACAGTGTGCGCGGTATAACGGCCTAGCAGACAAAACAGACAAAAAAAAAAAAAAAAAAAAATCGACAGGCGTATAATAATTAGAATATAATAAAACGATTGCAATGTTATACGGCATCTCACATTGTCGTAGCGCAACGGTTAAACAAGCGAGATTTCAAACATTTTAATAATTTAATAACATAAACAACGAAGTATTTGTTCGTAAAAACACGTTGCCGAATCCGGTACACGAACCGATATCGGATTGCGTCAGTGTGTTTACCGTAGCCGGTGTTCGTAACGGAACGAGTGCGAGTGCGATAAACGAAAAAAAAAAAAATAATAACAGAAAAAACCGATTTATTGTGTTATTACTAGATTTAAGTTTTTTTTTTTTTTTTTTATTATTTTTTTTTTTTTTATCTCAAGACACGCGTCCACTCTGAACGCGGACAATTACCGAACCCTAAAATCATCATCCATACCATCACATCAAACGCGATATTTTCTCGCGTCTGACGCCGCTGTCGTCGCAATTTCACGCGCCGTTAAACCGAACACTGGTTCAATTAAAAATGTTGGTGATTTTTTTTTTTTTCCCGAACATCCGGCGATAGTATCGCCACTATAATAACGGTCGCTAGTAACGGCGCTAGGGTACGGCGCGACGTTCGGTGACGGGAACCGATGGCGCGGTCCCCGAAAAACCGTAAGGCGGTTGTCTAACACGCACACGCGCACTCGACGTACTGCGCGGGTCGCGCACGTTAACCCCTTGACGCGATGATCGGTACTCGCGGGGGGGACAACACCCGACGACGACCGCGATGCATTTTTCTCGCCCCTTGTGAATCGGTTGTCAGACGGCACGGGCGTTTCGTAAACGGAAACGTTTCCGCGGGGCGGTTGTCGTTCGATGTTATTCGACCGATATCATGCGTCCGGCGCGGCCGCGGGAAAAAACCAACACGCCGACATTTACGCGAGCGCAGGTTCGCGTGCAAATCGATTCCGCTGTACTCCGGTGGACGGGACGCGCGAATTCGCTCGGAACGTCCGGACACGGGCAGCGTTCCCCCCACGGAACAGCGAAATTCCATTGTCGCGCAACACCGATTACGGCGGACGCCACGCAAGCGGTAAAAACGAACGTTTTATAACGACTACGAAAGCGCGGGACGTTGTCGATTGGGCGTGTTGCGCGCGTGCACATGCGTGTATACAATTATTTTAAATCGGGTAACGTTTTTGCCGATGTCGATCGGTGAAAAAGAAAAAAAAAGAGGAAATTCGCGACGGTACGCGAGAGGGTTTCGGAAACGTCGTAATGACGGCAACACGGTGCGAAACGCCGTGAAAATTCCGCACCGGTCTTTCGACGCCGCCGAACGAACCGGACGACGTCGAGTCGCGTGCAGTTCAAAGACGACTGTCTGCGGAACGTTCGCGCGCGCATTCGTCGGTCCGACCACGGCGTTGGAACGTTGCGCCAGGTGTTTGCGTACGTTCATTCGCCCCCCCCACCCGGTTCTCAATCGAATGTCCGACGGCGGCGGAAACGGAAACGATGGCGGCGTAATGGGGGCCAGCGCATTTTCCGCGGCGAGCAAATCGATACCCGCGATTATCCCGTTTCGCGACGATAACGATCCGGAGCCCGCGTGCAATAACCTCGTGTGTTTCGACCGCGGGCCCAAATGACGGGCAACGGTAACCCGGGGCCGAATCCGGCGACTCGGAATTAAAACCGCGGCGTTCGTATTGCAATGTTACGGTTTCGGATCGGAATTGCGCGCGCACGACGGAATTTGATGAGAAAAACACACGGCTGTCAACTATTTTGTCCGGCGTCCGTTTTTACGGACAGAAAAAAAAAACCAACGCGTACGGTGCCCGCGTTTAAACTCCGATTTCAATCCACGAGCAGCGCAATGTTTATTCTCGGTCGCGTAAGATTTTCGCCGTGTCGCCCGTCGGTTACCGAGACGGCGAATGCGGGTCAGGGGCGGATTCCGGAGAACAGGGTGGGGTGGGCGGTAATTGAAATTTGTGCAACGCGAAATTCACACTTATGTCTTATTGTCTTACAATGGGGCGGTGCTTGCTTTTTTTTTTCTTTTTTTTTTTTTTATTAAACCGCGGCCAAGGAGGAGCTATTAATTATCCTATTCCATCCCTTCGCCTTTGGATGCGCCAATCCGTACCACGCGTCCTCTAAACGCCGTCCGAATATTTTACTTAAATTTTAAATTTTAAATTTTATTTCTTAACATATTATTATTATTATTATTAAAGGTACGAATTATATTATTTTTATTATTATTATAATAATACTTAGTTAACTAAAAAAAAAAAAAAACAAAACAAAACAAAACAAAAAAAACTGTACCTAAACGTTAATGGTTAGAAAAAAAAAAAAAAAATACCCGATGAAACGGCTAATGTATATTTTTTATTGTCAAACGTCACACCCGGTTCACGGGGCCAGTATTATAATAAAAACCGAACGTAAAAAATTAACGCGATGAGTATAAAAAAAAAAAAAAAAACGAATTGTAACACGTTTAAATATTAATCATTTGTTTTACGTGATATTAACGGTAACATTACGTTAGACGGGTAGTTTAAAAATATTGCGCAGGTAAGCGCCGCCGTTATTATTTGCTTTACGGAAAACATTGAAAAAAAAAAAAAAAAAAACTATCCGTGTGTCTAATTATTATAATTGTTATTGCAGTTATCTCGGAAACGAATTTTAGCGGGCGGTCGCCGAATTCGAGTTCGGCGATTACGTTCCCGGTGCGTCGGGTGGTATACCATCTCGTTTTCATTGTTTTTTTTTTTTCCATTCGTTTCAACTCGCGTGACTTTTTTTTTTTTTTCTGAACATTAATATTTTGAGAAAAAATAGTAAAAACGTACCTACAGTTTGTTTTTGAGTGTTTGTCGGCTAAAAACGCAACGCAAATAAGAGAGAGAGAGAGAGAGAGAGAGAAAAAAACAGAGAATAATCCGTACAATATGTTTTCCGTATACACATAATAAACTGGATTGTTCATTCGTACGGATTTACCGATTTTGTCTCCGTCACAACAAACGGGTTGTAAAACGAATTTAAACATAATTATTACATATTATCGTAAACCTAACCGATAACACAACGTGCCGTTTGCGATTTTCGTCGCGCAAACGTATTAATCACGTGATATAAATTAATAATGGAAGACACGGTGATTTCATTGTCGGTTATGTCAATAGCCGCGTGGTGTTCGACTATCGCCATAACGTCTCGGAGTGCACCTTAACGATTATTATTAACGGCGCGGACGTACAGCGAAACGACGTCGCGACAAACGTGCGCGGGTAACGCAAAATCAGTCTTTTTCGAGTCTCGCTACAGTGTTAATAATTCTTAAGAGCTATGTGTTAAGTAGAGCGCGGATTGCTGTACGCAAGTTGAACGCGCGTGTTTAACCGACGCGCGTACGACCCGTCGACGATCCCACCGTGCACGAACGAGCGCGCATTATTTCGGCGTTGTCAATAAGAGAATTACCCGTTCATATAAAATCATTTTTTTTTTTTTTTTTTTCGTTTTCGTTTTCGTTTTCGTTTTCCGCGCGTATTCGACTGATTAAAACAATCGGCGGCGAATCGAAATACTTCCGGGAATTAAAAAATGTATATGTACATTTTTTACCAGCCACGGTCGATTTGTTCCGTTTCGAAACATTTCATCGATGGGGGGGGGGGAGCATGCGTCCTGACGACAGTCGTCAATGCTATTACGATCTGATGGTCGGCAAATGATAACGAAATGCGAGATTTATTGTTATTTCACTGTTTACACCGTAATACGAATGCGGTACATGACGTTGAGACACGTCCTGTCAGTCGAATTTTTATTGTCTAGTTATCAATTTTACGGACAACGGACTACCTACGGCCCGAATAATTGATAATAATTTGTTACCGCGCGTAAATTATCACATATTTTCCTCTAGCGATAACGATTAACTATTTCGTTTTTATATTCGAAGTCTGATCAAATTAAAAAATTATTATTTTCATATTTTATGACTGTCGTGCTTTAATTTACAAGATTTAATCCAACGAAATGCCGAAACAACGATACGAAAAAAAAAAAAAAAAATGAGTTTGTTATTATTTTATTAATGTTATTGATTTTGTTAATTATTATTTATTGAATTTATTTCGCATAAAAGTACATATTTTCATGTTAATAGAATATATTGATATAAAAACATAGTTCTGCATATTTTAATAATATTTTTAGAGAATATTGCAAGCATATATTGAAAATTTTAAGAGAATATAAATCCGCGCTCTAATTAAAAATAAAAGTAAATAATATTAATTTATTTTTTTTTTTTAATTTTTTTTTTTTTTACATTATTAAACTTTAATCTTAAACGTTAGTCATATGTTTTAACATTTTGTTATTCTTGGTTGAATGTTATAATATTATAATAATATTATTATTGCTGTTGTGGTTTATCGTCGAGGGGGGGGGGAGGGAGGGGGCGATTATATTATAAAATAAAATATCGACTGCCTACCAGGGTATAAGCGTTCGACGAAACGGAGCGTAGTTTGGGGTTTATTCTTGTTGACGTTTGCCTAACGGTTGTCTAAAAACGTTTGTACAGCGATAGTTGCGCACAATGATTTGTAGAAAAAAAAAAATAAAAAGCAGAAATAAACCGCAAGAGTGTAAAGTTTTAACGAATTCTTCGGTCCATCTTTCCGTTGATTTACATCTTCTTGAATTTACTCGTTTTACCCTTTGTGCCCCGCGAATAACACCTTCTGAAACAATACAGGAATTTCGGCGTTTCAGTGTTTAATAAGGTACGCGTTTAAACCGGCGCATTTGAATCGCGTCCATAAATGATATTTTCTCACGACACATCCGAGTTGCGTCCGCGTAGTATTTTTAATAAAATCTTCGTTTTATACGTCCTCTCTTCGTTTGTTGGTTAAATTTCAATGTAAATATCAGTTTGAACACTTTTGACATGAACAAAATGAACAAAATTGATTTTCAACGATAAATTGTTAGGTGATATTTACCGTCCTATAATAAGGTATCGATAATCGACAGACAATTAGTATTAACGAGTTTATCATCAAACATGTAGAAATAGAATAACGATTATTCTTGCGGACGCAACTCGGTTGTCGCGACGTTTTTAGGGACGCAATTCGTATGCAGCCGTTTAAACGTATTTGTTGTTATTATTATTATTATTATTGTTATTTTTCTTTTTACTTGATATTCGCACGCAAAGTCGATGCGAGTCGATTAACGGAAATCCGTATTGCCGATGCCATAGAGATCGCCATAAGTTTGTCTAAACAAATAAAAACAAATATTATTACATTTTAGATTCCGAGCGTATAGCGAGGAATATATTGGTTTTTTAGGCAAATTTCTCCCCTGCCCCCCCCCCAAAAAAAAAAAAAAAAAAAATAATAATAGAGAATATCGTACTGCGTATTGTGTCTGTTTTAATATACTCGTATAAATATAAACATATTAAATATATATTTCCCGCTACTTTTGGACGTTTCTATAGCTGCATTTTGGTCCGACTGGACCAAATAAACTCATACTCGGTGATCAGAATTGTTTAGGTCATAACATTTTGGTTGAACTTCAATATGAACTAAACCCGCATATTTTTGCGGGCGGAGGGTGTTTTTTGGCTTTGTACACCTCTACAGACTTTCCAAATAAAGCCAAGGGGATGAAAATTTGTAAATGCGCGGCTTTAGTACCAATATTTGATATCTTTTGGTGATTTCAGAGTTCTACCACCCTCCCCTAGTATTTTTAGGATCTAATTTAATTATTATTATTATTTTTTTAAAGTTTTAGTATAACATATTTTTGTATAGTATAATATTGTATAATTATGGTATTCGGTAATTTTGTTTGTTTTACAATGAATAACTCCTTTGTTCACGGGCGATTTTTTAATAAATTTTCAATGCTATGGTTTGATTGAAGATATTATTTACAGTAGGTATCTAATTTTGTTTTGTACCGCCGTTGAAAGTTGAAAGTGAAATGTAAGTGAAATGTATAAAAGTCGAATTCTAAAATTAAAAAAAAAAAACAAAAAATTGCATGGTTGTAAGGTAGCTGACTTACAACTCAGCATTTGACTGGCTGAGCTTATGACTTTAGCCCATTCTCTTGGAAACCGTCAAATTAATATAATATTATACGAAAAACAGCTTATACGCTTACCTTGATGTTATTTTTTTTTTTGATTAGATTGCGGCCGCAAAAATCGATAACAGATTCCGGCGTGGAAATGTAAACGTTGACTAAACTTTAGACGGATCCGAAGCCATCATCGTTCATCATATTTTTATGGACTGCAGTGAAATTCGTAAACTGACCCTCCCGCGAGTAGGTATGCATAATACTATTATTATGTTCGGTTATCCGTCTGTTGAATGTGAATCCGCCTGAATCGTTTTGAACACGTCAAATGATACCCACACAAAAACGAAAAGAAAAAGTTTTCTGAAAACAAATTAATCGCTTTAATCTTACTACCTATACATTGTTATCATATGAAGAGGAAACGATTTGTATGTATGGCATTAAAAATTCTAAAGCTGGGTGAGCTAATCGATTATTTAAACTAGTTTCAGCTAAGTTATCCTAAACTAGTAAAGCTAAATTTTAAAATATAAACGAGCAACTACGTTAAGTTATGAATTTTCAGGAAAATAATGACTTGAGTTAATTTAATAGTTAAATATTATCTAATCCATTTTCCCCTACACATTTGGCAGAAACAATAAAGTATCGTATATAATTGCAATAGTTTTTGTTCCAAGTTGGGACAATAATTTTTAATCTAGCGACCGTGTATTTTTATTTAGTCATATGTATACATGCAGCTTTCAACGAAGACATAAATAACTATAATTTGGCATATAAAATTACACTATTTACGAATAAAATAAGTGGCCATAGATGGTGACTCCGTTTTAAACAGTAGAATTTATTTTTGATTCATTTTTTTTTTTAGATTTTTGTGGCTAACATTTTTTTAATATTTAATATACACCTAGTACCTGCCTTTTCAAAAAATACTCGAAAATTGTATACAATATTCGTAGTTCGAATATTTTAAATAAAAATTATTTAACAGTGGTAAAATTAATAAAATTAGTTTCCCTTAAAACTACTTAAAACTTAAATGTACCAAAATGATTGCCACTAAACTATTATACGCTTTTATACCTTTATTGGTCAAAGTTATACCAGATCTGAGGATTTCAATAATAACCGTTAGTTTTGTATTTATAACTTACTATACCGAAAGCTTGGTATAAGTAGGTAATTACTTATAGTTACCGAAAGTTTCGTGTTCTCCAAGTTACCGTATATATGGGGGTATTTCTCGGAGATCTGACGAATGCGATAACTTTTATTCTGTTTAATATTTGTTTAAGTTTTTATTTTATCCAAGGTAATTACTAAATCAACTAGACAAGAGCCTTGGGCTATGATTTCTCTATTATGTATATATTTTTTGTTTTATAAAACTAAAAATACAATTTTTTTTACAAAATCCAAAGTATAGATATCTACTTAAAAAATATCTTTAAACAGGATAATTTGGTGTTACAGATATTTACTGATGATAAATCGTTAATTTTCTAAAAATGAAGTTTATGGTAATTTAAAACGTTTTCATTGCTACTACTAAAATAATATCAATCGATATTATCGTAAGCTTCAAAAATTTGCAATAACTTAACGATTCATCGTTAGTAAATAATGTATATACGAAGTGATCAATTTATTGTAAGAAACTCTTTATTTCAGGAAAGTGTTTAATTTTTCCGGAATTTGTTTTATTTAAGAAACAAGCTGCTCTACAATTTTATACTTAAGTTATTTTTTGTCATCCTTATTTTAAGGGGTAAAACCGCTACCTTGTTTGGATTTTCAAATGGCAACCTATATTAAAAATTTCATAAATAGACGAATTATTAGTCAAAATAAATTTTAGTGTTCAAATTTTTTATTTCCGTTTGTCCATTGACGAGATATTCTACTTTTAAGTTTGTGTTGGAGGAGAGTGGTGGTGCACTATTAACACGCCGCGCGCCGTACCGCCGCACAAATGATACTCTAGTACTTTCCTCCAACCCAAACTTAAAAGTGGAATATATCGTGGAATGGACTGACTGGTGGTTTTACCCCTTCAAATAAGAGTGACGAAAAATAATATAAATTAAGTATTTTATATTATAAAATTATGGAGCAGATTGTTTCTTAAATGTTCTGAAAAATAAATTCCAAAAAAAGTTAAAACTAACGGAGACAATGAATGTCCTATGAAAGATTGATAACTCCGTATATATATTGACCTAAAATCGGTTAAATGACAATATATTGATGTCTTGGTAAATATTTGTAACTCTAGCATTTTGTTTTAAAATATTCTATTTATAAAACGGCTATCTCTTTGGTTTTGTAAAAAATAAAAGTTTATTGTTTTTACTAAAAAAAAAAAAATATTAATACAAATTTATAAAATAAACGAATCACGGGGCAAGGTTCTAGTATATAGTTATTCCCAAACTCTTTAATTCTACGCCCCTTTTGTAGATTTTTCAAAAATTTCACGCCCCTCTCCATAAACTGATCACATTAATGACTTTTTTTCGTGTACTTTATAAATAAACTACACTATATTCGAAATATTTAATTTTTTTTTTATTTATGATAATAACTATAAATTAATAATAATAATGAAATGTTTTGTAATAATTGTAAGGTGAATAATATTTTGTAATTTTGTAAAACTAATAATGAAATTACCAATTAATATTAACGCGACAACACTATTGTTTGGATAATTTTTTAATATTCGGCTCGATATTGGCGAGAGAGCACCTCAGTCTGATTCGACATTCAAGCGATTTTTGTGTTTTGTTTTTAAACGGTGTATTTACGAGATTTATTATAAGATTACGATTATATTATTTATTGTTATATTAGCTTTAGCTACACGTGGTAACAGATCGCTATTAATTTTTCGTTTCCCCCTCCCCCATTGTTTATGTAAATGTAAATGCTCGTGTTTCCCCTGCAACGTGTTCACTTCCAGGTTGGGAAATACTGCTCTATAGTAATTATTGCAATAAGAATAGAAATAAACCTAAAAAAGACGGAAGTACTTCGCACGTGGGTGGGCCAATATTGTAGGTGAAAATTTGGGAACGTAGACGGGAAATTTAATGTATATCTGTATGCAACCATTCTGAGCGGAGTTCGATTAATAAGGGCTTTGTGAACAATTTATATGTCATATTATGGTAAAAATATAATTACTTATGCATTATATATTTTCTTTAATAATATTTGTTTAATACGGTATATATTTGCCCGTTTTTTCCGGGTTTTTATCATGTTTTTTCCATTTACTGGGAAAACTCCTGCAGAAATTAAAAAATGACCTCCAACAGTACCACCCCGGGAAAATTCCATTTTTGAAAAGGTGCTATACGTGATATTTCGGAACAAAATTTCTGGTAAAATTATTGTAAACACTATAAAAAAAAAAATAATTACACATACATTTTTCGCTACACTCAGAGTCTAAAATATCGAACAGAACAAACTTTATTGCAGTATTTGTCATGTGTATATTATACGTTGTTAGCATGCATACGCAAGTCACGACCGACGATAAAGTTTGAACAACGATTAAGAAATCGTATCGTAAAACAGTATACATACGTTAGATAACCGCTCGTAGTTACAAATATATTAAATAAATTAATGTTTGTATTGAAAAAAAAAAAAAACAGAGAAACAGTAGTGTGGATTCAGTGATATTAACTGTACCGCGTGCCGGTTTAGATTGAAAAACGTTATAAATTAGTTTGTCACGAACTCGATCGTTTTTGTATCGGCATTTTTCGCCAAACCGTGTTTTCGCTTCGGAATTTCAGATGAAACGTTTAAAAAAAAAAAAAGAACAAACAAAAACAAAATGTTCTCGTAAAAAATACCGATACGTATTTTTTTTCTTCTTTTACCACCACACTGCATTAACAGCCAAACTTTACGTCGACCCGTTGAAGCACGTAATCGATTTGACTATAATATATAACTGTACAATATCGAACAGTATCTGTCTTCTTTTATGGAAAGTCACATTTTATAAATTCAATTTACTGCAGTTATGAACATTCGGATTTATCAAGTGCGCGCATGTTGCCGGGAATTCTCATCGGTTATAAATTGTTTAAAAGTAGCAGCAGGCAACGCTCGTCCGTTTTCGTATTATTATTAGAGTTTTGGCATTAACGCTGAGTGGTGATCGCGGGGTAGTAGGGAATCGGGGTCAAGTTTTATTAAGTCTCGTAAATTTCGAGTTTCGCAATATCTGACGTTTTATTGTAAATCGTATTTTATAAAAAATATTTTATTTACCGTTTTTCGAAACTGTAAGAAATAAAATAGGTGTACACATGGTGTTTTCAGTTAAAATGTAAAGAATTTTCGTTATAATCGAAAAGCTTACATGGAAAAAAACCCGTTCTATCATTAATCTCTTTGAACGTTTTTCAATATAATAATAGAATCATTTTCTGATTGTTGGCGAGTTTATAAGTAATAAACTCAATATGAAATAAAATATATTTCCACGGATCTATACGAACGGCTAATTTTAGCTGCAGGAGGTTTACAATCAAGAAAGTTAATAATATTATGTTAAGGAGATTTTCATTTTTCAATTTTCATCAAAATGGATATTTAAGGCTGTCTTAAAATGTTCAAAAACACTTTATTTGAAATTTTAATTCATATAATAATAAAGTATTTCAACTTTAATGTAAATTAAAACTTTTGTTATCAGAGTGAAAAGGCTATATACCTATTAGTCTTATTGGTTTTACAACTTTGGGATTTTTTCGGTCAGCAAAAAATACTTTAAAAGTTTTTTGCCACACCTCGGCAGTTTCATAATTAATCGTCGTTAATGGTATTTTCAGAAAAAAAATTGTACTGGATTTTCCCAATATATATTATAAGTTATCTGAAAAAAAAAAATCTACTGAGAAAAACGTCTGACCGATCAATAAATTATTAAATTTACAGCGACTGCAATAATGGTAAATAATACATCGTCAAATAATTTCATAAAATTCAATTTTAGAACTTTGGAATGTACACCTGCCGAATATCAATTCAGTTTGGTGTTATAAAGTTTAAATTATTTATTAGTTATTAAATTCATATTATTTATACCTTCCAATATTGTTTAGGTTTGAAAACTAAAACTTCATGCTTATTTTTTGTTGGGTGGATTAGTATTTAAGGGAAAATACTAATCAATGGTTAAAAGTGCAGTATACTTATTGCAGCTGTGTAAAACGTTAAGAATTTGTCTGAAAACTACATCATTAATCGTTTATAGTGTCATGAGGTATTTATAATCGAATTTAGTAACTAATGTACCGCATAATAATGTAACAGAAGAACAATTAACTTGTTCGACAAGTTTATTGTAAAATTTTAGAATTTTTAACCGTGATTAAATACGTTAAGAGTACGGAAAATTACGTTACTTAGAACGTGTACATTATGGTGTTTAGATTATATTACGTTAAGTTAGTAGGTTCAACATAAATCTGATAATTTAAAGATTTAAATCACTATTACCAAAGAGTGGAACCTACATTTAAAACGTTACAATGCCGAAATTTGTATTTTTACTAATAACCGGAACCTATAAAACCATTTAAAATTCTAGTTCCCGGTTCAAATTCTACTATCATTTGATAAGACTCAATTTTTACCCTATGACAGTTAATCGTTGTAGTCCGGTAATTTATCTTTTTAAAAAAAAATAATACTTTCTAGGCTGAGAAAACCAAACAAAATAACTCTTTTTTTCATCCGTATCGCCAAAGTATGCACTCTACTCGCAAACTACTGCGAATTTCGTAATGAGGTTTTCACTAAACTATTTGGTATGACTATAAAAAGGTCCTCATTGATTTTCAGTCCAACCTTGGCAAAAATAAATTAAAATACTGGAAGGATGTTCTATCATACTACTTATGCATAATATGAATGATTCGTTTATGTTAAAACGGATTGTGACTAAAATCAGTTTGCAATTTACACACTAGTTTACATTGTACGTATGCTACAGGAGGAGTTCAATTTATTTGGAGAGTATGCTACTTCAATTCTCTAGTTTTTGTTAGTTTATTTGAAAATATAATTAAGTTATTAACGATTAAGTTAACCATTATATAGTTTACGATTTGTTTAAAAACTACAGTTAAGTCAAAAGTTATCAACGAAAAGTAACTTTTAACTTTTTCACTTGTTAGTTAGTGCCAGATTTTAAATAATTTAATAATTTAAAATAATAATAATATACATATTATATTATTTTATTCGAAGCAGTAACTAAAGGGGGTTTCGGGGTTCACACTCTTTCCGAAATTTTGTTCAAAAGTATTGTTTAAGTATTTCAAGATCGACACTAATTATGTCTGTAACAAAAATAATGGATGATTCACTTGAAAGTCCGTCGCAAAAATTTGATCCGACTACGGCCTTGATCGTATCCGTCGTATATTACTGTGTAACTACTATGATTTTTAAGCTTTTATAAAACGTCCTGTTTTTAGTGTTCTTAAACGTATTCGTATATTTATATAGGGAGAAACTATTACTGTTTTACAATATGGACCGCTGAGCTCAAATACCTATCTCCGTATGCGCGTCGTTATATAGTACGTACAGTGTTTGTTCCCTCGCGTCATGTTAAACAGATCCATTAAAAGCTTAAACCGCACGCGTGCGCTAGAGGGGGCCCAAATCTAAAATTAACCCCAACCCTTAATTTAATTCCATGTCAAGTGCGGGAAACCCTCTTTTCAAAAAGTTTCCATATAGTTTCGAAATCCACTTAGTGGTATATATATATATATATATATTTATTATTTTTTTAAATTCCATTTTATAATACATAAAACAAAATAAAACTAATGAAATCGGTATATATATGCGTATTTAAAAAAATAAATAAATAAATGCCAGTGAGTCGTTGAAAACAATAAACCGCGAGATTTTCAATCAATTATTGTCAATCCCTTGTGCATGAGTTTTTATTTTGTTTTTATACTATAATATAAAACCCCGATCGGAATAGGTTTTTTTTTTATGTATAATATAAATTTAAAAATAACTATGCCAGTTTTAGAACTTTGACACTTATAAAAAGCGATTGTTTAAAATGTGTGTTCAATCTAAAGTACTTTTTGTCAAATATCCGAATTCATATTCATATTTTTAAATACGAATTAAATCGAGTATAAGGAATATATAATATATTTTAAAAATCCGGTTGTTTCGGTCCGTTATTTTAATAAAGTTTCTCGTTTTGTTTTTTATTTTTATATAAGGCGAAACAATACATTCATTCTATAGTAAAATTGTTTGAAAAGTCGAACGCAGCTGATATGGTTCATTTATAAAACTATCATTATTTTATACATGGTTATAGTATCAGATATTAATATAATATTTTTGGTAAAATACTGGAATCTCTCTCTCTCTTTCTTTCTTATTCGTCTCTGGCTTGACAGCTATCTAATAGCCCTGACTTTCAATATAATTTCCGCCTGTCTTTATATCATATTCTCCTTAGCCAAATGGAATTTTGCCCGCCGACCTCCGTTCTATTATAGCTACTCTGATTCCATCTTTATCTTATCTTTGCGCATAGCACGTCTAAACCACTGCATTATTTGCATTTTGATGATTAAATTTGTTATATACCTATGGTAATTTTGTCATCCCACACAGTTCCGTAACGTACATCCTAGTAGTGTAAATAACGGTAGTGTAACATTTAAGATTTATTTGTTTCATAAGTTGTTTAAAAAAAACAAAATTTTTAAAAAAGTTAACAATTTCCGAATTAATAAGTGTCTTAACGAGAATTTATCCTACAAAATAAGATGAGTCTAGAGCGACACATATTACATGCGTACACATTCGCGAGATACCGTTTTATAAAATTATTTGAATGTAATAGAATTATTGTTTTGATGTATATTAATAAAATTAATTTATAAATTTAATAACGATAATACATCAGAAAATAAACTAAAATAGTTTACGCATGTCACGAGGAAAAAGAAATCGAAATTAGTAAGAATGGTAATAAAAATAAGCGTATGGAGAAAAGAGGTAAAGAGGAAGAGCGAAAAAGAGGCGGTTGTATGCGATTGAAAACGATATAAAAATGACAATGTAAGGACGATGTGAGAGATCGGGTCAAGTAGAAGTTTAGGACGAGGGCAGTTGACCCCAAATAGTTGGGATTAAGGCTAGTAAGAAGAAATAGAACCCATACACTTATTTGAAACTAATTTAAAATAGGTACAAAACACGAAACGAATTGACGTGCTGTACGCGCATTTTATCACTTTCATGTGATCTAGACTTTTCAAAAACTATACATGATTTATAATTACCCGATTAGTAATCGTATCTGTAACTCGAAACATTGTTTCTATTTAAACTTAAGCATACATATGCAAAATAAAAATATTGTATCATTTATCATTCATAAATATACTATGTAAATCGTTTACATCAGGGATATCGGTAGGTACCTACTTATGAAAACTTTGCTTGTCCGTTGTAAAAAAAGAATATACATACATTAATACAAATCCAGAATCCTACTCTATAGTAGGTATGTAAAATCGCTCATGGGAATAAAAATATACTATCATGTTTTATGCGTTTTTGGCATAATATACAGAGGTGATTTTTGTAAGTGCGTTTTGAGTTGAATAGTATTTGCGCTTTTGATTTGAAAAAAAAAAAAATACGAAAAGTGCGCTTTTGACAATCACCGAGCTATGCAACGTATAAAATGTTCGGTCATGAGTAAACAACAATATCATCGTACACAATACGACGTAAAAGAACAAACGAACTGACTTTATACGGGTCGATGCGAAATTATAACAAAGCGAAACGATATTTTGAAAGAATTAAAAATAGTTTGCTGTTTGTTTTAGATTCTGAGCGAAGCGGGGAATCAGGCACGGCACCAGAGTTATTTTTCCTGGAGGGGCAAGCACAACAATTTTACTTTTCAATGAAAAAAAAAAAACAATTAAATTAATTATGTATCAGTGAACACTGTATTAATAACACATAATACATCAGTATTCAATTTTTAAAAATTAAAATTAAACAACAATATTATCTACTTGTTCTGATGATGCGGCAGGCAGCGACTAAGAGATTAGAAGTTATACCTATATTAGCCTATATTTGGCCGCTTATTGAATAGCTGTGACCAATTCCCTTAATAGTTCGAATAATACAAATTCTTACGTGTGCAAATATCATTAGTGTAAGGCTTGGGGGGGGAGGAGGCGATAGATGAGCGAGAATTTGTCCCGGGTGGGCAGCGCCGTCCCTGCGAGGAATACGACGGTTCAACTATGATGTGTGTTTTTATTTGGTTTGTCTATCTGTGAACAACTTTTCTACTGGAAATTTTGTTCCGGTCATTAACTTAGAAATGGTTTAGGGGTATAAATTATTGATAAGTCGACGTATTGAGCAAGATTTTTGATTTTTTTTTTTTAAAATTGTTTTCAAAAACGTGGAAAAACGGAAAAATGTACGCAATAACGGATTCTGTTATTTTCGATTTTGTTTTTAATTTATTTTTTCGTAAGTCTGTTTAATATAATCGTAATGATCAGAAATTTTCATCGAATACTTAAATTGAAGCTTTCTGTACGCGGAGCAATTTTCATAACGTTTTGCCCATTTTTGAGATTTGTACAGCTATTTTAAATTGTTGAGTTTTTATTTATAGAAAATATTATTTTGACACAGCAAAAATGTATATGTAATGTAGTAGAATTTTTTTTGTAAGCATTTCAAGTTCACATTACGACAAAAATCGTAAAAATCACTTGCATTATTTGAGTATAAGTTTAATAACCGAACTTCGCATAGACTTGTAGTTTTTTTGTTATTTTGAATTCTAACAAATGAATAATTTCGAAGTAAATTTGTGTAATGGAATGTGATTATTACATGATAATATTATGAGTAACTGCAGTTTAATACTGGAAATTATAGGACCTGAAGCTTTGTTGGGTTTCGGATGAAATATTGTCTGATGCATTCCGTACCGTTCATATAAAAGATGCTATCGTGAATTATATTGAATCCTTAGAAAAGAAATATTTCGCTAATTCTTTTATAATCTCCCCCCTCCCCCCGCCCTAGTCAGAACATATTGTTATAATTTTAGTTTCTGAAATATTCGAGAAACTAAAATTATTATAATAATGATATATTCTGGCCTGGGATTTTTTTTGATTCGGAGCGTAGCAATTCGGCAAAAAACTACGGCACAACGATTTTATTATTTAAAATTTGTACGGGTATGTTGCGCTCCAATAGAAAAATAACAAGAGACTTTTTTTGTTGACTTTATATACTAGTTGGTGAGTAAATTATTCGTTTTTTTTTATCTAACTGGTGGGTTTTGTAGTAACTGAGAAAAACCGGGAAATGACGAGAAATAAAAACTAATAAATTTACAGCGCTAGGATTCCTTTATTTTAAATTTGTATGGCTTATGTTTTCTACAAAAAATATTGCTCCAATAAAAAAACGACAAAATATCTTTTTTACTGGATTTTTAATTTAGCAAATGTTTAAGAAAGCCGTATTTTATATTTTTAATTTTTAAAATAATTGAACGAAACTGAAAAATATCAAGAAAGTACGGGAAAATTGACGAAATAATTCTTTTAGTATTTATAATTTTATTTTTTTATGTAATTCAGTTAAAAATATTCGTAAAGATTTGAAATTATGACATAAAACTTAAATTTGATTTTTCTAGACATTGTCAAATTTTCAAAATTTTTGAGCGATTTTTGATCTATTTATATACATTTATATACAATCAAGTGAAATTTGTACGTAATTTTTCTTTAATCGTTAATATTTTTAAAAATTCTAATAATATTGTCATCTTCAAGTTATATAATAGGCATTTTAACTCTCATACTGATTTTAAAAGTCGTTTGATTTGTTTTACGTGAAAGCGGTTTTGTTGTATTTAAAAATACAGAAACAGAAAATCATAAAGAACAAAAGAATCAAGTGATGCGGAAAACAAGCAACATAACAAAATCAAAAACACATGCAAAAGGCAGATCTGAGAAATGGCAGAATGATCAAGTAGAAAAAAAAGAAAGATGACGTGGTACGAGATTTATAAAGAATTGCTTGAAAAGCACTCGAGGTATAAAGAGAGTGTAGGAGTTTTGCTGCAAAGGTTATTGACGGTCTCTGTATATTAAATAAAAACTACAGAACGACCACAAACTTAGTGGATCTAAATCAGCTCTTGGGATATTGTAAGATTATCTAATACAAAAAATTAAAATAATCGTTTTTATAAGAAATATAATATTTTGACCTGTGCGCATAATAGCAAATCCGAGGCCATATCAAAGGATTTCCATCGACATTATTTCGAAAGGAGAAAAATATTAGGCACCGAAATTCTAATATATAATTTAATAGATAAAAAGATAAAAATTCATGGAATTATTTGAAAAATATACACAAAATTGTTGGACCTCTCCGAAGTTTCTTTTTATTTAGGTACAGCCTTGTATGAAACCAAGTCTCATAATTTCTTAGCTCTTATAATCTGAGACTAGACGTTAATGAGTTCAAAAGTTAACAGTCAGTATAGTTAATTAAATTTTCAACTTATAACTCACAGATGTAATTGTTTAAACTTTTAACATATTACTATTCATTTTCAAACCAATTTAATATTATATTATATTATATATTATTATTATATTCATTAACTTGTTCTGCCTTGTCGTTTATAAATACTATTTTTTTACAGTTCTATTTTCCTTTATCTTATACTAGAAGTTTCGTAACGCATAAAGGTTAACTGACATCATCTATTTGTTAATTCATTAATTACGGTTTTCTTAAGGGAATTGGTGACGGCGTATATATTCGTCGATTTAAAACTAAAAGCCAGATGAAACTGTAGGAATTGTGTTCAACGAATTTCAACATTGAAAACGAATCATGTAAAGAATCTTAATTTTTTTTTTTTACTAGGATTTGATCAAAATAGAAATTCAATTATTTTTACTGGAAATTGTAAAAATGTTGATCGTATTTTGGAAAAATGTTCAAAACTGTATACTTGAAGTATTTCGACTTTTAATATTGTGATAGAATTAAAAATTAAACAAATATTTTCAACGAATCCTAGTAAACGAATCTTTCGAATCAAAATACGTTTTAAAAATCTAAATCCGTTAAACGCGATTCCTACAGTTTTGTCTGGCTTTTCGGTATAAAACACCGTGTTCGTCCGTATTAAAAGCTGTAATTTTTCCCTTTAAACGAGTGTCGGACAGTATATTAATGGATTTGCCTTATCATTAAGGTAGACATTCTTTTTCTTCTTCTTCTAATGACATAATTTTACTGTCTAAGAGTTACGGCTGCCACTACTATACTTCGCCACCTGTTTTTATCTTGAACTACTTCTCTCCAGAGTTGTCCTCTAGTTCTTCATCCCTGAGTTTCCACTCCATAACTATCTAAACTGTCCTATCTATATCCCTTCTCGTTATGTGGCCTAACCAAGGTAGTCGTTCAAATTTAAACAAGCATTTCAAATTGTACGAATATGGAGACAATTTTGAAAACCATCGTCAGTCCCCATAATACCTTTAAATACCCGAATACCTCTTAATATTAAAACGCGTAAAACTGTCATATTAGGATACAGTTATTATATTATTTATAAGTTTATTTCATCTTCAAGTATTTTTTTCTTCGGTGTATATTAATTATAAAATATATTTTCTATATTTTTCCAAAGTTTACTATAATAATACTAAGCGATAACTATTTGTACTTATGTTAATCGAAAACGTGTGCATTCTGAAAATCATTAGGTACCTAATTACTATACTATTTGATAACATATTTGTTTTTAAATGTAAAATCTAATTTAAATGAATTATTATATTATATACCAACTATAACGTCTCGTTGAAAATCGATCGATTACCCGTACAAATCGTATTGGAAAAATACACGGAATATCGGAATACAAAACAAACATTTAATGGTATAGTCTAGAAACGGGCGGTACTAAAAATTTAGAATCCAATACTCGATACTCGTTTAGTAAGTGCGATACTTTATTCTCGTTACCTTCATTTGAAAATAGAAACAAATTACGAATATTTATAATATATAAACGTTTATATTATTTTGTTATTATAAAAAAAAAAAAAACTATTCAGAATTGATATGTAAAAACACACAGAAAAAAAATAATACGTAAAATACCTACTGAATTATTTCGTCTATATCTAATTTGTTTGACCGACGCGGAGTGATTATCGCGTTTTCATTCGATACACAACCGGTATTTCGATATCGGGTACGATTATACGGTCTTAAGTAGGTACAACGCGAGAGTATCGAGATATCGAATCGCACATCCCTTTCGGCACGTTCAACGGACGTTTGAAAATTCAAAAAAAAAAAAAATAATAATAATAATAACGGCGTTTACCGGATAAATCTTAAAATAAAATATATACTTACGAATTGGTTTTTTTAAATGTTTTTTTTTTTTTGGCGAAAGTTTCCGTTCCGTCGCGTGCGTGATATTGAATGACGATATTCAAAAGCGGTGGACCGCGGACGAAATATATTAATAATATAATTATACGTAATATATACACGAAAACATGGTGGCGGAAAGGGTAGGGGGGGAGGAAGGGGCGGAGGCGGCGGGAAAAAAAAAGCGGAAAAAAAAACTACGAGAGTCGGCGGCGCCGGCGTCGGCGTCGTAGGAGCGACGCGCGTGCGGTACCGGCCGACGCCGGCTGCAGACTCGACGAAAACGAGAGAAGAGGGTCGGCGGCGGCGGCAAAGTCGATGCGATGGGAAGTCCGAATAGGGGCGGGCGCGTATCCGTGACAACGGTTATCGGGTGGGCGGCGTCGGTACGCGGGAAAGTCGCGCGGGTCACGCGCAGGGGCCGGTCGTCTGTAGGTATGCGGTGCGATAATAAGTTGCGGCGGGGACAGAACTTCCATTTGCTTCCATCTGCCGGAACTTCCCATGCGGTGTCGCCGACGGCGGGCGGCGTCGCGCGGTCTGCGGGATGTGCGTCCGGAGCGCCGCGCGGGAAGAGCAAACGTGCGACGGGTGTGTATAAAATAAAAAACACCGAGACGTAGGTACGGGGAAGGAGAGAGGAGACGAAACTATAAATAATACGGTTAATAAAAATAATAACAATAATAATAATAAAAAACGGTCTACTGTGCGATAACGTTTGGAAACGGTCGTCTCTTATCTCCCGTCGACGACATCGTCCCCGGACGTCCCGCGCATAGGTTTTTATAGTTTTTTACCCGCGATAATATTATACTGGACGCGATTCATAACGACATTATCAATAGATTAACGATGTTATAAGTAATTCGGCGGCGCGTTTAGGATTTCGCCTCGGAGCCTCGGTTGAATTTCGACGACACACAACTATTACAATATATTTTCGGAATTTAATAATTCATAATATTGTAATCATCGTCGGAATATTATAATATTGTAATTCGTTTAATATTTGGGTATATGGGGGGTATAATACTTCCTTTGTACACTTCCGGGAATTTTTTTTATAACATATCATAACGTATTTTATAACGGTACGGATAGGTTTCGTTTGGTGTATAAAAGTTCGGCGAGTTTTTTTTTTTCGATATATTTACTACCTATGTAATATTGGTCAATATATTATAGGTATACCGACGCATTTTTGATTTTATCGACCGAAAAGTTTAATCATTATTTGCGTACACAGGATATATTATACGAAATTCTTCAAATGTACTTACCGCTATCTAGTGATAATTTAAGGAGATCAAATAGCGTGTTCCCGTAGTAAATTTGATGGATTAGTCCTATACATTTTAGTCGCAATTGTAATGGTTAACGATTTGTAAGCGAAAACGGCGGGAAAGTCAAAAGCATCTCTTTTGAGGGTTGATGGATTAATCCCGAGGGTGATTTTCAGGACTAGTATGTTTATTAGTAAAGCTTGGACTAATATTGTCTACCAAAACTCAGTTTTCGATGGACTAGTTCATTAGTTCAACTTTTTTATAATAATTCGACTGGACAGTGGAACACGAAGATTTGACACATGAAATAAATTTAGTTTTCTTCGATTTATTCAGGTTTTTTTCTAGTAATAATTTTTAGAACCTGGTGTTACAATTCCTCTGTTTTATATTTTGTTAACTAAAAATATAAATTTAAAATTTTTTTAAAATTGTTTTTACAAAATCTAAGATTGAGAAAGAATTGATGAATCGATTGATATTATTTAGTAATGGCAACGAAAATAATTTCAACTGTCACAAACTTCAAAAAATTATATCAACTTAACGATTCATCATTTGTAAATATTTATAACCCCAAAATTTAGATTCAAAGTATAATTATAAAATGGCCATCTTCGATTCGGTTAAAATAAATTTTTAAACGATTTAGATTTTGTATTTTAAATTTTAAAAAAGAGGTGATATTGGGGAAGGGTGCAGCTACTGTTGTATGTGAGAAGTTGGGAAGGTATATGGGATACATACAACTATTTAATTCATATCTCTACGCAACGATAAACTATTTTTAACGAAAAACGATTCGGAGCGAAATCGGCCGGTGAGACATATTTTAATATGTCTTATTTTTTTACGATTTTCGTTAAAATTTGATCTTAAAGTACTTATGAAAAAAAACCTAATGCATTTAACCCAAACTTGATTTTTAGACCACTAAGTACAACTTATAATGTACCTTGCGTGTTGAATTTTTGTGTTAAGCATTTTTCTTAAGTCATATAATTTGAATAACAGATACCTACCAAATACAAATACATATAAAACACGAAAATATCAAATATAAATAACGTTTTTTTTCTTCATGTTTACATCGACATTAGTGGAGAATCTGTTTTCACAATATGTCGCCGCTGCTACCATCATTTATTAATGAATATAATTAAATACAAGTCTAGTACAATTAAAAATTAATTTCGCTATTCAAGATTTTGCCGGAATTATTATTTCAAGATTTTAAAAAGGGCGACAATGGCATGGAAACTATACATCATAGATGATGATAAACTATCACAGATAGTTTATCTGTACTAACAGATCCCTCGCTATGGTCCGAATCTAAAAATACGAACAATTCAAAATAAATTAATCACAGCGCTAAGCTCAAGTTATTGTTACAAGAAAATAAAAACTAAAAAAAAGCTGTCCTAGGATAATGGGGACGGGTGCAGCCACTGTTGTTGGTGAGAAGTTGGGAAGGTAGGATATAAAGGAGAAGTTAATTTGTATTCGTAAGCAACGATAAACCATTGCTTACTAAAATTACGATTCTGAGCGGAGTTTAAGTGATAGTGTTGCAATGTCAATAATATATATGTCATGTTAATATTATTATGGTAAAATAATTAAATAGTCAGTGTATATTTTCTTGAAAAATATTTGTTTAATTGTACAGGTTTTTCTGTTTTTCCTACGCTTTTTTCGGTTTTCCTATGTTTTTTATTTATGTAAACACAAGATCATGCATGTAGCCCAAGTTTTCATCAAGTGTAATAAGGCGACAATGACACGGAACCTGCACCCGAGTGAAATAAAAATAAACAAAATTACAAAATAATCTCTAATTTATAGGTACATAATATATATAGTAATCGTTACAACCATATTAGAAATATAATTACTAATTTATACTTGCAGGTTCGTTACGTGAATAATTAATTGAATTGAATAAAATAAACAATTTGAAAATATATAATTTTAAAAATTACATTATTCAATCGGAGTTCCATTACTATTAAATTATGTAGTTTTTCACGTTTTGTTTTTTTTTTTTGTTTTAAAATTTTGAAATTTAAAGGGTTCGTTTATAATATTTAATTTAACGTATACTTCTATTTTAATTTCTTTTAACTTTTCTATAAAAATAAAAATGCACGAAAATTGATATATATATATAAATTATATGCATAAAAACCATGTACAGAAAAATGAGATATTCACTTTTTTTTCCGAAAAATTGACGAAATATGCATATGTATGACTTTTTAATTTAAAAGTTTTATATTTGTAAACGGGACGCGGTCTATATTATATGCCTGTTTAACATAGATAAAAATTGGGGCGTAGTTTACGAAAAAAAAATAAAAATAAATACTAGACCGTCGTATACGGTACACGAATATAGTTTAATATTAGAGTACATTTTTTGTTATTTTATTTAAACATTTTTTTTTTTTTTGTTATGCTCGACTAACAGTTGTTACGGATGTTACGATATGAACTATATGTATAAACCGATATTTTTATTCTGACCGTCACACTGGGAATACGCGACGTATTTGTTTTATATACTTTTTATCGTTCGATATATCATTTGTGTGTGTGTGTGTGTGTGATGTGATAATCGGACAGATTTCTTTTGTATTTTTTTCCGACACGCGAAAAACAATATAAATAATATTATACTGGACTGGGGACTGGGGAGAGTAGGAGCCACGCCACGCCGCTTCGAAAATGAATATGACCGAAAAAAAAAAACTTTTTGGAGAGTCAGCAGTGCGCGTATTTGTATGTATATTATGGCAGTCGCGTTAAAAACACGGGCATAAACGAATATATACGATAGGATAAAAAACGAAAACAAAAAAAATTACAATTCAGCGTTTTAAATCGATACGTCTGACGCCGCAGGAAATACAAAAAAATACAATAATTATCGTGTTAACAGGCTCCGAAAAACAGAATATAAAAATAGAAACGCGAATTCGCTGACGAAAACAAATCGAAATCGCCCGGTCGAATGCGAAATTGTTTATGTATAATGTATAATGTGCGTAAAAGCATTTTACTTTTGTAAATCGACGATTCAAATATAAAACGCGCTAAATAAAAACAAAATTTTAAAAATGAACGGTTTTCGCGAAAAACACGAAAATCGTGAAATAATAAACGCTTAGCCAAGTCGAGTTCACATATGAATCAGTTCGAAACAAATGATACCGCTGATATTGCTTATGATCGTGGGTGTGCTACTGTTATGAAGTTATTTGATTTATATCTGTAGCAACGATAAACTATTATTGCTACGAAATACGATTCTGAGCGAAATTCAGTTATACACGGTTTTTAATGCCGTTGATTTTCGTCAAAATTTAATCTTAAAATTCGTAAAAAAAAAAAAAACTTCTGCGTCAACACTCAACTTTTTTTTTTTAATAACGACAATAAACTTTGTGATAATTAATTTTTCATAACGAACCTCGTGTTAAATGTTTAAATATTTCTGTTTTTTCATACAATTTTATACACTTAATATCCACCAAAAAAATATAAAAAAAAAAATTTGAAAATGTAAAATGCTTATAAATAGCTCAGATTCAACTTCATCTAGAATTTGTTAAGTTTATGTCTGTAAAAAATATTTACGTATTTTCTAAAAATGTCAAGTCTCTACGAATGTTTTTAACCGAATAATAACAAAAAAATAAAAATTGAAAATAATGAAACCATTAATTCCGTAAACTTTTCTGTTTTTCCCCCGTTTTTGACAGACCATTATTATAATACAATTTACTAACGGAAATGTATTCCAATTTAAAATAATATAATATACATATATATAACAGATATTTAGTATTTATATACGAAAAATACTTGTAC